CGAGTTCACCCTGCGTCAGTACGGGTGTGCAGCATGCATCTGTGCCGTCGAAGATGGCCTCCCACTCCTCGCGCGTTTTCTTCTTGAACTCGGCGGCGAAGAAGTCCTTCAACTTTGGCCAGTCCGCCCTGTCGTCCCTATTACCAGGTAGATCCGACGGCTCCAGACCCATACCCTTGAGTAGAGCAGCGTAGAACTGGGGTTCAATAGCGCCCACTGCCATATACTTTCCATCCTTCGTCTCATACGTGTCGTAGAAGGGCGCCCCGCCATCCAGCATATTCGTGCCCCTCTCCCTCTTCCAGACCTCTGTTTTCAGTCCCAACCTTGGCATAGTCGCCAATATCGCACTTCCGTCAACCATGTTCGCCTCGACGACCTGTCCATAGCCGCTTCTTTCTCTCGCCAGCAGCGCAAGCAATATACCCATGAAACACATTGCGCCGCCTCCCGCGAAATCTCCCACGACATTGCCCGGCGCATACGGTTTTTCCCCTTTCCTGCCAAACATGCTTAACACGCCGGACACAGCGATGTAGTTGATATCGTGCCCGGCCATTTGACTGTATTTACCATCCCGACGGAAGCCCGTCATGCGAGCTACGATCAATCGCTTGTTCAACCTTAACAGCACCGTTTCAGGGTCAAGACCGGCTTTCTCGAGGACGCCCGGTCGAAAGGGATCGATTACGACGTCGACTTGAGGGATGATCTTCTTGATGAGGGCGAGGCCCGCGGGCGATTTGAGGTTCACGCATATCGAGGTTTTGCGCCGCGTTAATTGATCGGAGGATGGGGCTGCGGGTGCGCGGTCGAGGCGGAGGACTGTGGCGCCGTAGTCTGCCAGGAGCATGCCCGCGAAGGGACCTAGAAACTATCATAAGCATTTTGGAGAACATACTGCGAAGGGATGATGAGGTTACCTGGGGCTAGTCCTGCGAATTCGAGGACGCGTACGTCCGCGAGTGGAGGCGGTTGGTTTGCTGACGGCATGACGAGGTAGCTGGAGATAGTATACTACTTGGGACGATTGAAAGGATGCGCGTGAAGTAAGAAAAACGCGAGCTTAGTAGTAGACATGCTCGACGTCGACATTGTTGGCCGTTGCGCCGGCTAAGCACTCCCGCGGGGAAGCATGCTCTGGAAGCCGAGGTGCGGATGTGGAGAGCTCGAAAGCTGGGGTAGTAGCTTCATCTTTCGCGTTTGGGTTGTTTGTCTTCACACGCGACCATCACGACGACGAGTCGATATATCCCTCGCTCTCAATGTCTCAGAACGAGGCTGATGAGGTTTGACATGTCATCCCATAGTATATCATGGCGTGCTTCGCCCCACTCTCTCAAGTTGCTACGATTGCTAGCATTAGGCACCAGCGCGCGTATGCCTTCGTAAGCGCCTCTTCAAGAGTCGATGACTCTGTAGAAGTCGCGGAGCTGTTCTTTCAAACGCTGGACGAACGTGGCTTCCTTCCAAGATTCACCCGTGCTCGACCACATCATGCCTCCCCAGTTGAGAGCGCGAACGTCTCGCATCAAACCTCAATCTTACGCTCTTTCTTCAGATCCCTCTTCCAGTCAAAGTCACCTCCTCATGTCTGAATCAACAGCACAATCGGCAAGCAGTACACCTTCAATCTACACCATCAACCTTTCACTACCACCACGCGAACGCTATGTCTTGGTCGCCACCGAATACGCCCACGTTCTGCGCAAGATGCCGTGTCTCTACGATGAAGCAGTTCAGCACCTGAAGTTGCCTATTGGATTTTTCCATCTCTTAGGCCGTCTGTTTTTGCGTCGTCTTCACAGCGATGAACACACTGAGGAACTCAGGGGCATTAGCGAAGCATCTGGCGTGCCAATGTACTTACTCGTCGCTTACAATGTCTTCCTGGACCTGCTCATGGGCTGCACGAGCGGCGGAGTCATGGTAAAGGATCCCGAAGCCGAGGCAACGATGATGCATTTCCGAACGCTAGATTGGTCTATGCCTCTCCTGAGACAAGCGATCGTGCAATTCGACTTCATCGAGGGTGTGGCTGGCGACGTGATAGCGAGCACAGTTGGTTACGTTGGTTTCGTGGGCGCACTTACAGGTGTAAGGAAGGGTCTGAGTGTCTCACTCAACTTTCGACCCTACCACAACGCCCGTGGGTTTTCAGGACCGAACATCAGATATTACTGGAACACTCTCATGGTGCTTCTGGGGAAGAGACCGAGCATCTCCACTCTCATACGCGAATGCCTTCTACCTAGGCCGAGTACACCTCGCAGACGCCACAGGCTTTCTAAGAAGTCTTTGCAAGAACGAAGAGATTCATCATCTGCACTAATTCCGCCATATAATGCATCTGACGCACCCAACAGCATTGCGACTATGCAGACATCGGTGGCATATTTGATATTCTGTACCAGCGCGGAGACCATCATCCTGGAGAAAGACTTCCACAGCGCAAGGATTTTACGCTCATCAACGTTTATCAGTACAACTAATCACGACGTATCGTTGGAGTCTACAGCCAATCCGCACGCCAAACAGAACCAGGCCGTCCATACTCAGGGCCGGAATCACAGCTTCCTCAATGCCGGTATGCAAGAAGTACTCGAAGAAAGCATCATGCGAAAACAGTGTCTAGAGCGAAAATGGCGAGAGTGGACCCAGGAGCAAGGCCGTAAAGCGAAGCGAGGGCAAAACGCAGCAGTAGGCGTGAGCCCAGAGAAGCTAATTAGATGGTTAAAACAATACCCGGTCTGTAACGAAGTTACACACTTTGTTTGTGTCATGGATCCAGCAGAAGGGATGTTCAGATGGGTGCGGGCTTTCGAGGAGGGCGAGATACCATTTCAGGGTTGACTTCAGGCTTGTTGGTTATTCAGGTCACTTGTAAATAATAGCACTTCTCGATCAAGAACATGGGCTGTTCGTGTCTATCGTGCTGCTAGGAGCGCAGGCCTCGGCTCACGATGGATGCGGGAGCTAACACTAATGCGGTTTGCCACCGTTTACCTTCCGTTTCTGACGGTTCTGCAATTCTCCTAAACTTCAGACATCGCCCACTTCCGCGACCTATTGATTCATCAGTCGATTATGCCAAGCTCTAGGTGGTTCTAGTGAATGACCATTACGGTGACAGAGCACCGAAGATGCGCCGCATGTCTAGATGGCAACGCACAAGAGATCCAGGACCGGCTGTTGGACTTGTCGGGGGGCTGGATATAAGTGTGATGAGGTGAAGCCTTTTTGTGGGCGTTGCACACGACTAAATATCATCTGCAAAGGCTATGGGGTCAAGCTGAAATGGCAGGACAACGCCGCTAATACATTGGCAAAACCACCACGGAAGAGTCGGAAGAAGAAGGCTATCGACGAAGACCAAGCACTCAGCCCAGCGTCGACTATCAGCTTCGAATCCACACAATCGGCAGTTCCGAGTCCAGATGTATTGTTCTCATCGCCGGACTCGGCGAAAAGTATGCCTGCTTTTCTCTTGAACAGCCCCGTACTGTCCTACGGGATATCTCCAACCGATCGATGGCTCCTTAATTATTGGGGAGAACAGCTCTCAAAGCTGTTATCAGTTTCACCTCGAAATGGCATTGCGACACCATTTCAACGACATCTGACGGCCATGGCCTACGAATCGCCAGCACTTAGGTCGACAGTCCTCTCAATGGCTGCAAATCATCTCGCATTTGCATCAAATGATGCTTCACTTCACCTACGAGGCTACCGTCACCAACGAGACGCTATTCAAGAGCTTCAAAGGATGATTCAGGATCCAGTGAAGATGGATACTGAGCCGGCGCTGGCCACTGTCATGATGATGCAGGTTTCTGCGCGACTGTTTGGCGATGACGATGAAGCCAACGTCGCGAACCATCTGACTGGCGCCAAAGCCATGATAAAAGGGCGCGGTGCGGATAGCTGGCTTGTCACGTCTAGTGCTCGCTTTCTCCTGAGCCTGTTTGCATACCACGATATTCTTTCTTCCGTGTCGAGAGGCTCGCAGCCATTATTGGATCATGGGATGGATTTTATCGCTATCGAAGGGGAGCAAGAGCTAGAAAGCATCGCAAAAGTCCTATTGATTGTTGCAAAGATCAGTCAGCTGCAACACGCTATCAGAACGAGAAGAGCGCTGTCACCAACAAGCCCTGCTTTGTCGGAAGATGAGAACACAACTGGCCGACATATCCAACAGATCCTGTTAGCCATGGAATTCGATGCATGTAACAGGGGGGATATCGAAGAGCGCATAGACATTAGCTCGACAGCTGAAGCCTATCGCCACGCCGCCTTCATTTACCTCTATCGAACCTGGCTTGACATAGGCGCTCCCAACCCAATAAGCATGGAGCATATCAATCAGTGTCTGAAACAGCTACAACGAGTCGATATTCACTCGCCTCTAACCTCAGCACATATGTGGCCGCTGTTCACCGCGGGCTGCGAGGCGATCGACAGCACACAGCGACAATTCGTCCGTGACCGATTCGAAAATTTGTATGATGTAAAGCATTTCCCAAGTTTGAAACGCGTCATGCGTGATATCGAACATGTTTGGGCAGCCAAGGATATGGAGCAGCAGACGAAAGGTCAAGATGGAATGGCCAAGGTTGACTGCATACAAGTCATCCTGAAAAGAAGGGGGCGGGAGGTCGATCTTGCGTGAGGATTGCCTAGCGACACTAGAGGCAGCTACAACTTGTGTCGCACTTTACAAGAAAGGCTTAAGTAGATGTACACACTGTCTTGCATACTGCCTACTTGCCAAGAAATAATAGGGTATAGGCAGCAAACCCTAGAATGCGACACAAGTTCTGGCCAACCCTGGTGGTGCATGCGGATTCTCTTGCGCACAGACAAATGACCTACACGTCAGGCAACTCTCAAGTGCAGCAACCAACCACTCGCGCCGCACGGTATAAATACTGGTGCTTCTCAGCTTATACTGCATCCATGATACATTCAACGAACTCGACCACACTCAACTAGCCACAATGAACAACCCACCCTCCATCTCGCACTTAGAGGCTCTGCCCGCGGAGCTCTTCAACCGCGTTCTGAGCTACGTGTTCAATCCTTACGATTGCGAGATCGAAGAGTCCAACACCACATTCGGCGGTTACCGTTTCGAGACTTCTCTTCTACGAATCAGTAAGAATATCCATCAGCTTGCAAAAAGCTATGTGCATCACGCACTGTCTTGGGTACGGTTCGACATCAACTGGGGCGCTTTCGCAATTCAGCCACACTGGCTTGGTGTAAAATACATCAATATTCGTCATGTCAAAGCCGCCAAAACACTTCCGGACGGATACCTGAACCTGAGTCTGAGGCCCGTACCTCAGAAAGCTCCAGCTGGGCTTTTGCACCTCAAGATAGAGCTACCAAGTGCTAGCAACAAAGCCCAGGAGAAAATAACACGCATGGTCAAGAGCAATGCAAACACCTCAATGTCACTACTAGTACTTGCGAAAGACTTAGCTGGCTTCATGAAAGTACTTCGCATGAACGACCTCATCTATTGCCACCGCAACTTTCCGGGAACTCCAATCTCCGATGGTATACGTGCGCGTCGCGGTGTTCATGGCATGAAATCAGAAATCGTCGTTGCGCGCGGCCAACAGCTACAGCGCTATCAACATCTCATCTTAGAGTTTCACGTCATGTGGAGTACCCTCCACAAGACTACTATTGTTGGACACGCAGACAGCCATCTTGCTAAGAAGTCTGCGGACTTCATACAGGGGCAGCATGAACATCAAGCACGCGAATCGGTCGGTTTCTCGAAAGCGGATATGAACGCTAAGATGTTTATGGAGCTTATGGGAGAAGGCATATCGACTCTCCTCTGGCTTAAGCACCGAGGCGACGAGTATCTTACAAAAGGCTTATACTCAAATGCTTACATGTGCTACTCGAGCGCATGCACTCTCGAACAATGTTGGCTAAAGATGGCTCCACCGCCTGCTAATTTCACCTTCTGGACACTTGATAGCTGCCTCTATGTCACCTTCGGAGTGACGTTAGTGTACAATATGGCAATCGCGAAGATGAAAGGGGGCTTGGACTTTGTTGCTGCACATCCTCGTGGCACATCAATGCGTGGGTACTACGGCATGCTCGCCATTCTCAGCGGTGGTGGTGGACTTCTGGATGATCAGCGCTATGCGGAGCTAAGCATGGTATCGATGCTCTACGAGCTCTTCACTGAGAATTTTGACAAGGGTGATCGATTGTTCGACATTGTTGAGGAGATTTGGGAGGATGCCGACATCATCGAAAATCTATCGTCTGATCTGGGTCTCCTGTACGACACTGTCAAAGAACTCGACAATGCAGGCCGTACACCCGCTTCTGACCCTGAGAGTCTTGATGGACTGAAGGCATCAGTAGCAATTGGTCTCGCAAATGTTGCGCCGCTGAAGTGGGCGGTGACCAAGAACAACTTCCCGAAACCATTGCAAGAACTTGTTCAGTTCCTACCACGGGCTCAGCTCTTACCGGACGGTGCTGTGGAGATCCCTAGTGGCTATAGCTTTGAGATCCCAGTGTACTGCCAGCCAACCGATGAGCAGCGCATCAATGGAGAGGAACACCCGAGGTACCTCGTGTAACGAATGCTCGAAGGCATGCGCGGTCTTCTAGATGAAAACCTTGTGTAGAAAGGGCACATGTCGCTGTTGATGTGTCGTACAGGCAGGAGGCTTGAGTGTTCCAACCTAAAGTTATTCAATAAAGCGGAATTTGTTACAGTCCTCTGTGCATCAAAAGGTTGTGCTTTCTCCTCGCTCCCAGGTCATCTTAGTGAGCGTGTCTTTGCTACGCCTCATCACCGGGCAATCGAATATTCAAGCTTCCTCAAATAATTATCGATGTTGCACGTTTGCCCTGTTCGTTATTCGTGATGTCTTCATCCATGAATTTTCCTTGTCAGGTTCGCGCGTTCTCAATCACTGGTGTTCGCTTGGCCCGTCAACGTGTGTGTCTAGGTTGAAACTACTCGATAATTGCGCGCTATTGTAATAAGCTTGTCCTTTACATCGTGCGCCTTGGTATGAAGCTGCCCAGGTGGGTCCTAGTCGCAGAGCCACGAGAGACGATGTCTCGAGTGTGCCCCATGTAGGCGACAGCGGCGATGGCAGAACATACACTTTGATCACTTGAAAGCCGATGAGACGCGTTGCCGAAATAGCAGACTACATGTCAGACAAGCACGCCGGTAATAGCGCGCGTTGGTACACGCGCAACATTATGACAAGCGCGACAATTTCGTGGTCTATCATGAGATGGCCATATATCTATAATCCGCAACTTCAAACAAACATTGCAAGCTCTCAGTTGTTCGAGGCTTTGTTCGCTCAAAGATCACAATGATTGTGGGTTGTGTATGTACCGCTCCTATGACACCGCCTGCGCAACCGAAAAAATGCGCAGCCAGCTCTAATGGATCGCTTGGTTCCTTCTCCGCAGCGCTATATCGCAATCACCCAATAGGAAATCTCGGGTCGCATCGATACAAGACGTAAAGATGCGGGTGAGATGGGTGTTGAACTGTCTGATGGTGCGTGAAGAAACAGAAGGGAGGCCGGGCAAATTTTCGATGTTATCGAGATGCTGCTTGGCGCGCTAGTCCAGGCATAGATTGGCGCCAACTGTCTTCCCGAGGCGTATCCACTTAGGTCTCCTTCCCAGCCACTTTCAGACACATGCAGAAAGATCAAGTCTATAGTGAGCTTCGTAGCTTACCCCGCGATTGTAATTCTCGGCGATGGAGAGAAGAGCGGCTGAGCTTCACACATCAAACGCCTGTCCGCCGATATGGACACGCAATCTACCCCCGCAAGGATCGTGGCAAGCAGAGACGCAAGCATCGAATACACCAGCGACAACATCTTTCAATTGACACTCACCCCAGAGAACAAAGCGGAAGTATTTGAGCCTGGACTTGCCAAGCTCGATGAAGGTCAAGAGGAGGCTAGCCTCATTCTTCGAAATTTGACCTCATGGTGTCCAGATGTCGCTGCTCAGTTCTCCCAACGCTCAACTGCGACCATCTTGAAGACACCATTTCGCCTAGTCTTTCCTTCAGAGGCTCGGGAGGCTTTCGATGAAGACTTTTTTCCACGACAGTATTTCGCGATCTCCTATTGCTGGCATTCAGGCGACTATCCGAACCCGGATTATGAACCGCACGATCGTTGGCCTTTCAGCAAACCCTTTGTAGATGCCATTCTGGATGAAAAAGAAAGCCCTCGCATAGGACTTTGGATTGATCAGCTCTGTATTGACCAAGAGGACACTCTCGACAAGCAAATGTCTGTTGCTGCCATGGATGTGATTTATCGATCATGCATGCGTCTGCTGGTTCTGTTAGAGGACGTGAAACTTACCGAGGCGGAGACCCACCTTGTGGAGAACTTTGAAATCACCAAGATACAGTGGCATAAGTTATGGTTACCTGAGCCGGAGGTTAGACCACTCTATGTGTCTTTCTACAAGAAGATTAACGCAGCGAGATGGGTACGTGAAGCTCTAAGAAAGAGGGGATTCTGAATCCCACGCTGACTTGTACATTCCTTCGTTGCAGTGGGATCGTGCCTGGTGCTTTCATGAATTCAACGTCAATGAACCATGGAGCGACAAAAGGCAGCTATACAGGAATCACAATGCGACGTTCTTCATGAATGGACCGGGTGATTCCATAGTAAGGATAAAGTGGGTCAATCTTCACATCATTATGTGTACGGCGTTAGACTTGCCGTCTCCCGAGAGCGATATCGACATAAAGGCCTTCAAAGGCCAGGAAATATTTACGGGGTTCACCAACAAAGACGGAACACCTACATCGGCCATGAGGTCAAGTATCATGGCCCGTTACAACAGCGTTTCTCGAAAAGGCTGTCAGAATCTTGGAGACCGCATCAGCATCATGATAAATATCAGTGGACGTGCTCTCGCATACTACGGCGAAGCCTTGAGCAGCAGCGAAGAGGTGTTGTATTTCAGCGCCGTCTTAGCGCTTGCCGCAGGAGAGACATACCCACTGACTATGATTGAGAGTACATCAATCAGACTCATGGGCAATACGACGTGGCTTTCGCGAAGTGTCGCCACTGGCGATTTAACGATTCCGAATTTCCCCCTCGGAGGTGTGCAAGGCATCCGGCACATTTCGACCGAAGTTATCAAAATTGACACCATCTTTCTTAAAAGACCCGGTGCGCTAATAGAGCATGACTTGGAGTTGGATGCTGTCAGCCAAGTTTTCCCCGACACCATACCAACTACAGAGCCGGCAAAGTACCTTGTTGATGGAAGCAGATTACATGTAGCTGCTCCCCCGACAGACAGCGAATGCGACGGGTACCGACGAAGATTCATCGCTACTTGTATTAGCAATGGAATTCGGTTTACTGCCAATCTATGGGAGCAGCTAAAACGTGATGTGGTACACCCCAACTATAACCAAGCTGGAGGCATTTACCGAGATCTGCAGCCAAATACTGCCCTGTTTATACCAGCACAAAGGTTTTTGGAACATCTACATCGAAATGCGAGCCCGGAACCTTTGAAGAGTATTGGATTTGATGTAGAAGACGCCATGTTCTTCCTGACCTGGGTAACTGATCCTCGTTCCATGTATTACATCGGCTCTCTTTTGATCCGCTTGCAATGCACCATGGATGGGCGCCAGGCTCTCATGACCATCACCGGCATTAAGGAAGACTGGAAAGATGTCAAGCTTGAGGAGCTGCAAGCTGCAGTTCCTACTGATTTGCTAAATGCGAGTTGCATGACATCGAGGGTTTGGATTTTGCAGCCATTGGAGATTGATGAAGGCGTTGTGTTGAGATGGAGAATTGTTGCAAAAGCGCTGCTGCTTGGTGAGCCAGATCTGATGGAAGAAGTGAGACTTCACGGCAGTCGAGGCGATGCAGCGGTGGTGTTGAAGGCGGGTACATGCGTGGGTGGTTAGGCATGTCATGGGCCTGAGTCCCGAGATCGGTGCGTAGCGCAGGATACCGGACTTGCTGTCGCTGATCTTGGAAGTGTTGCGAGCACCATTGAAACCATCAATATAATATTAATGCCATCTTTAGGGGCGATTTTCTTCGCTCCAGCGCACGATATGTTACATTCTTATTCAATGACTTGCTATCGTTGTTAGTCATGCTAGCTGTATCACAGCGGACGGACGAGCATAGCTGCTCGGCCTTCTTTTGCTTATTCACGAGCTTGACAGGTACTCTACATTACTAATTCCCGCAAGCGCATCAATCGTCCATCCGAATTGTAACGTCCATTATCACCCTACTCGACAATGAAATCCGCTTCCACGGAGTTCGCCTTCGTGCTGCCTGCTTTTGAGTGGCTTGTTCGCTTGCCGCAGCCTTGGAAATGACGCCCCTCCTGTGCGATTGCCCTGCACGTTCATGCTCTCGGCATCTCCTTCAGCTCTTCTGCCACTTCGCCCCAGTCTCGCTATTGATATGGTGCCGAAGCCCCAATGTCGATGACATAAGTTTGACGCTGCGCTCACCTATGCCTTGGGTATATATCAAGACATCGAGCTCTTTGTGAGGGCTACCGTCACGGCCCGCAATCACCGCCATGGATCGCTCCACGAAACCAAGCTTCAACTTTGTGAACCTCACACACCCCGACGATCTCAAAAATGAAGAAATGCAACTGCGCATTCGACGCCTAGCTATGACTGAGGTCGGCAAAGCGAGAAGAAAACCCAAAACGAAGAGGGCGCGCAATGAAATCGTCCTCGAGTTTCGCAATCCGTCTGAGAGTCGCGTCGATATTGACCGGTTTGGTGGCGGTCAGCTTGATCCCTTCAGCCCCTACCCCATCGAACTCGATGACTCTTGTCGAGCGCTACTAGCGAACAGTAGGCGCATTCACTCCTTTTGGTCAGACTCTTTCCTGACTTGGCGTAGTCTTTAGTACCGAAGATAGCAATCATCCTAGCCAGCTACGTGGCTCCTGGTACCCCGTTGGACTAAGCGATGCGGCAGCTTTTCACAACATGCTTTCAAACTCACAAAACTTCTTGTTCCAGAGGCGAAACGGATATTATCCTTCTCAAGATGATGCCATAGCGTTGAAATATCACAACAAGGCGCTTCGCCATACCACCGAGATGATGAACGATCCGGCGAAGCGCACCAGTGATGAAGCTATAGGTGCTGTGGTCTCTTTCATGATCCACTTTGTAAGTCGCCCGCGTGAGGATAGTGGCGGTAAGGCTGACAATTTCCAGGCTCTATTGAGGAACTTTACCAGCAATGATTGGCAAAAACATAGTAACGCACTGGTCAGAATAGTGGGACTTAGGGGCGGATTTGATACCATTGAGAAAGAGCACTTACGGATTACGATTAGCTGGTTAGCATCTCCGGGGTAAATCCAAGATTGGATATTTGCTGACGCCTGAATAGGGCAGACCTCATCGGAAGCTTCTATCAAGACCACCCTCCTACTATACCGATGCCACGACAATGGATAATGGACTCGAAATCTCCACCCAACTCCCCACGGGCGTGTAACGCCATGTCATTAGCCTGGAAGCAGCAGCTACCAATGCAGCTTGACTTTGTCACCATCTTTGATGATGTAGTCCAATTGATCTCTCTCGATAGAGCTTTCAATGAGGAGCAGTTGATGCTTGCGATTACTAGCGGTAGCTGGCTGGAACCGACACCTAAGATAGCGATACAAAGTGAATGTTAATTGCCCTGCTTGCAGGGCTGTATGTACTCGACTCGCACCGGACGAAAGCGGACGCTGTAATTGGCAGACCAGGAGCAGTCGTCTGATTGGGTGCAGGACGTGATTACCGTAAGCATTACGGTAATCACGGAGGCCGGCGTTTCGGGCGGGCTGCCGCGGCAGGTCGACGCGACGTGTCGCGTCGGCTTGCCGCTGCAGCCGGCGCCCGAGCCTTGGCGAGGAACATCAAAACTTCAGACGGGCGCAACACGCGCAGCGCGAGGTGCGACGCGATTGCTCGCGAAGCGAGCGGCAACGCTGGGTAGCGCGGGTCCTAAGGCCCGCGCAACCGCTGAGCCCCACCAAAATCTAATGACGCCCCCCGGCGCAGCCGGGAAGTAGGGCGTCTTGATCCTGTCTGGGATTACTTCGGATTTTAAAACTAAGTATACAGAATATTGTATTGTACTATACGCTATTATTTTGTAGCTCTGCCTCCACAGCCATTGCAGCCTCTAGATCCTGGAGTATTGACCTCTCTTCTCGTCTATCCTCAGCAGAGCAAAGCGCACGCTGCAGGTCACGTATCCTTTGCTGTACTAGAAGTATTTGTAATTCTGATGCCTCTCTATCCTCATAAAGTAGTGCTTGGTATTCCGTGTGTTCTTGCGCTAACTCTTCATCCTCCCGAAGTTGTTGCTCCTCATATTCAATGCGCTCTTGTTGCAGAGCTTCATCATCGCTTGATGTCCAGGCCTCGTCGTCAACCAAGCCTTCGTCGTCAACCAAGCCTTCGTCGTCACGTTCGTAGTCGTGTTCTAGATGTTCTAAGAAGCCCTCGCTGAATAGTCTGCTTCGATCTAGCGGACATGTAGCTGCCTTACCCTCGGATTGAAGGTGGTTGACCCATTTGGCGATACACGCCTTGTGAAATGTATGGCCGCAGACGATAATCTGGACTGTCGGCAGAACATCATTCTCGTAGCATATTGAGCACTCGGTTTTCGTGTCGAGGAAATGTCTATCGCTTAAGGTGTGCGTGATAGAGTCGAGGAGATTGTCCTGGGTATCTTGCGGAAAAGAGCTGGACATGTTGTTTTTTTGGAATGGCGGGGTTAGTTCATTCTTGCGAGGCTGTCTGTAGTTATAAATACGTCTTAAAAACTGTAAAGACAATAAAGAATGTAGTTTGTGTCTAAGACATTATTCGTTGTAGAGACAGTAGAGTATTGAATCTTCTAGGTGTTACTGTTGTCTCAAGAAAACTATGCGCTGTAAGCTTTATTCACGCCAACATATCGAAGTTGCCTGTGCTCTTCGTGTGTAGAACAACGTTAAGGAGGTGCTTGGAGGTGCTTACTAATAAAAGATAGATGGCGAAAATCTCAAGGCACGCACACTTTGTAGACCCCTGAAATACAGCTCTGATACCTTCTACTGCGAAAGCGAGGCATATCTCGGTAAACGCACCCAGGCATATAACGGACCCGTGGACGTTTGTCGCAACTCAAGAGTCTAATAATTGCGATTCCTCTCATTTGGGGAGTACCTTTGCGTACGTGGTGGTGATGTATTGTGGGAGTCGTGAGTGGCTTGGCGTCACAGTCTCAGTCAAGGGCGCATTGTCTTCCCGAGGTCTCTGCCCGCGGGGGTGGTGGCCTTGGCAAGAACTTTGCTAAGGTGGCCGCAGCACCCGTCCAAGACACCCCGGGCCTCGTCAACTAGTAACCCTCCCCTGCTAGACACCTGTATCGCAATATTCGCACAGTAACTTAGCATAGTTGACACTGAGTTATCCGTCGCCTCTTCGCCAACTTCCTCTAATGAGCACCCTCTCCCCGAACGTCCCAAGGTTCACAAACAACCTCGACAGGAAGCGCTCTGAATCATTAGCCCCACCGATGACCACTAGACCACAGTGACGCACTAGACACGTTCGCGAACAACATCAAAGCTATTCTGCTTTTACCACACACCGAAGCATACCTTTACGAGCCCGTTGAAAAGATACCCAAAGCCTCGTCACGCGCGAACGTCACAAGCATTCCATGTCATCAGAAATCCTCGCAGCGCTCTTCGAAGAACTTCATCACCCAGACACACGCGATCGTAGTGCAAGGATCCAAAATCTATGCGAAGTTTACTGGGATATCCTAAGCAATGACACCTCCATCGCACAGTTACACCTCAACGAATTCACCCTCCTGCTGCGCGAAGACGAAAACCTTGCGCTCGCACAGCTCGTTATACCCGAACTTCGATACAGCGCACCTACTGCGAAGGAAGAAACAAAGCGCCATATCCAACACCTCTTCCAATCCGTGTCAAGCCTAAGCCCGAACACCACACAGACGAAGTATGCAGAGGTACACCAGTTGTTTGAGAGTGAGAAGGATATCATTCAGGAGATGGATCTATACCGAGCTGCTCTGCTGCTCTTCAACCGCGGCGAGATTAGCGAAGCCAGAAAGACACGCTTGCGAGAGTGGTTACAGAACGCGCCCAAGTAATGGACAAGGTGGACAAGATGTGGACCAGATGGGGTTCAGACGGCATTTCACCGCGAGAGATATAACTTGCTATTCTTCACATACACGGAAGCCTTCCTATAGAAGCCTACATTACGCGAACGCTTCTAGAATCGAGTGTCTGCTTTGGCCTGCGCCATTGTCTCCATCAACATTCATCTCATCGGGGCTGTCGTCACGGATGCTTTTACGAGTCCGGCGGCGCTTTCGCGCACGTCCTGGGGCCACTGTCTGATCGTCGTCTGGGTCAGACCTGCTGCCTTGTACCGTCGCACCCAGGCTAGCGCTTCGGATTCGCTTCTTGGCGTGACTGTGTTTTGGTGTTTGTTTCGGAGAAGTAGGCTCAAGACTGTGGCTCTTGCAAGGTTCTTCGTCGTTTAGTCCGATTGGAAGCTTCTTAAGTTCCCAAGCACGTGTTACAAACTGAATGGCTGTGTAATTATAAAACCTTGTGAAAGAAAGACACAAATTGTGGTTTCAATCAATGAAATATCACTTATCTTAGGCCGATACCGCCGAGCCGCGTGTTGAAGCTCGCCCGGACTCAATTCCCATGACCCCGCTACCCGCCCATTTATCCACCCAGCGATGACTGAATTATTCAGACATTTTCAACAGCGTCATGCTAAACCTCATAACTCTCACTCGATAGATTGCTCCTCTATTCTGGCATCACCTTTGTCTAATAGACAGAACCTTCGCCGAGAAGTTGACAAGCATCTACTTCCAGACCGTCCCCCAGACTTCTAATCTTACTTCTCGCCCCTGGTAGACGAATCGCTACTGAGCCACGATAGCGATTCTGAGGTATTTATGGCTGGTGCTGAGTCAGCCTTGGCCCATCGGGACCGGGACCTGACAGAATCGATCAACCCTACCTAGGTAACCGGCCTTCCTTCAACAATGTTTGGAACTTTTCCCGGAGCTCATCACCAGGGTCTCTAATCTCGTGGATTCTATTAAGGATGGAAGACTTCAAAGTTTGCCACTCCTCCTTTGTGGGATGGTCGTGAAACACCTCTTCAAGGACGGTGAGTATGTCAGCGCTAGTTCTACACTGGCCCATAGTCGTGTAGTCGCCACCTCGCGGAATAAGCAATTCGCCCGCACCTTCATCGTTCTGATAGTCATAGGTCTTTCGAGCCCACAAGAGGCATCCGTGAGATTGGCGAGAAAGCGAGCCCACGCAACTCCCGCTGTGATTGAAAGAGCACGATGCTATCTCAGTGTATGGGATCAGGATAGCTTTTGTGCTAAAAAGTTAGCGCTTAGTTAGCGATGATTACTAGTTTGTGACACGCGAGCTATTACTGACCAATCCTGAATGGGCATTTCCCACATTGTGCATTTCTTAAGGCGCTGTGTCGGAGCGGCTGCGTTCCACCACCCCTCTTCAAAAGATGACCATGCCTCAAGGGCAACGAATAGTGCGGCTGTAGCTCCGGTGATTTCAGGTCCTGCGATACCCTCATAATCTTTTCCTTGAAGCCAGCCAATCTTAACTGTCTTAGTTAGTAAATGTGGACAGAAGATAGTAAGCAGGACTTACAAGGCTGACTACTGCGAGTCGCACAGTTGTTGAGAGACACAGCAAGAAGACCAATAGGGTGAACGGTGTTTTCCTGGGGTTTGTAATGCTTTTGGAGTGTTTCAAAGCCGACGAAAAGGCGGTCTAGCAAGTAGACGTCTCGTAATCTCTCTTCAACAGCATCCCAATGTACTTCGTGAGTTGCGTAAGAAATCCCGGAGTTCTTCATACCATGAGGTAGTGCTTTCATAGTTGCGAAAGGGTGTAGTAGCACACTACCCTGCTCAGACGTGAGACTATCAAGCCACTGTTTCTCGAGACTTGCGAGTTCCGGTTGCTTCTTGGAGAAGTTCAGTTCATCCTTGGTCAACACTAGATTGGCTGGGAATTCGGATGCTTTACAATCACTTTTGCATACGCGGCAATTGTCTTGTTGTTCACCTTTCCTTTTCCCTTGTTTGTAGACCTCCGTAGGCTGCACCCAACGACGCTTACAGTTTCGGCAGATTCGGTGACCGGTTCTATCCATGGAGGGTGCAGGAAGCTGTATAATTCCAGAAATTAGTGGCAGTTGAGTATGTACCAAATCCAGCTGACAATGAATGCGCTCTTAAATCGAGGATAGGGGCGAGAAGAGCTTCTAAATATATCGCAATATTACAAACCTGGGACCTTCGCACCTGCCAGTAGTTTGAAAAATGATCGAGAACCTTCTGCTTCAGCGTTGTGGTCACGATCGGTTTGCTCGTTCCGAACAAATCACGCACCCTGCTAAAGGTAAGCTTCTATTTTATGCGCGCGAAAAGTGTAGTAGAGGATCAAAACTACAAGCTTGTATTGAAGATACTTTCCTTTTTGAGAGGACCTAATTAGGTAAGTACATATAGATTTTAGAAGTTATAAGTACCTAGGTAGCTTGTTTTGCGTTCAGTTACCGCAGTATTATAGAACGAAAGGGAAGAACTAAAGTACTGCACCGCACCGCACATCTAGATGTAAATTAGAAGAGGGGAACATGTTAAGACTGCAAATAAGCACGAGAAAGTTACAAGAGCATAGCATTTTAGTATGATAAAGCTGTAGTATACAGCGACCAGTGACCTATTTAGTAGTCTTCAAGAGCATTACCGCTACTATATGTTATATAACATCACTACTTGTTAACTCGTTCCAAATGCAAGCTCTAACTCTGTGTGTAAGACACCTGGTCATTCTAATCTTATCACTATGCCCACGTTACCGTCATATTCCATCCACAGGTCAGCTACTCCCAGAAAATCCACTCTCACTGCGTTTTAGAACACATGTTGCGTACTCTTGTTACTTGTATAGAGCCTAGACAGCCCCCTATCGTCTCCGTGGAAAGGGTTCAAAATCGACTAGGCTGCCCGCTTCAAACGGTTGAGCAGGGTGGGCGAACTTGCAATTGTCGACCGAGCATTCCGTGTACGCAGCGCATCTTATACGCGTGCAAGCAATCGCATCCCCTTTCTGGATTCGAATCGTACATGGTGGACAGATCTTGGCATTGGTACACAGTTTGTCGCCCCGAGTTCGCCAACATTCAGTGCACACGGAAACACGTGTATCTGTCTCAATTACTGCTTTTCGTGCAGCAATTTGCGCATTGTAGCCTCTCCGTGGTCTTGGGTGCTCGACAACGTTACTGTAACCGTCGTTGTAATGGGCTTTGTCGCAATGGCGAGGACAAAACCAATTGTCTCTCGACTCATTATAAGCCTCACAAGCAACCCTCTCGCAGGTTAGACTGGATGATTCACAGTTCTTGCACGACCCGGAGTTGTTGTCGCACAATTTTCCGCTCTCCCAACAAGCGTGGCAAGGTACGTGGGCTCGGAGTAGCGGTAAAGTGCGTAGACTCTGCAAGAAATCCTCGGGGAGTTTGGTGAACTTGCAGTGGAGCCGACGCTCATAGCACTTTCCACAACAGTAATCCGCGTCTGGGAGGGTGTACACGATCTCCGGGTGAAGGAATGTGCATGTGTCTTCCCCAAGGCACTCGTCGCAGGAAACTTTGACAGTTCCAGTGGCCAAGCCCGAGTTTTCGATGAGTTCTTGGAGTTTGATTCCGCGGTCTTTCACCTTGACCATCTCCGCCATCGTAGACGATTTGATGATATGATTAGACCAGTTCTTCTCCTCTTTGAGTCGAAGGAAAACCTTGCTGAAGTCCTGGTTATAATTGGTGACGAAAGGTTGGTTTTGCTGGGTGCGTGACAAGCTCATACCCACGAGGACACGCTGAATCAGGCTGCTCATGATTAGCACAGGATAGGACAGGATAGCGAAAATGATGATTTTGCGCCGATTCAATGAAGGAAGCTTACCGAAATGCTGTGTGAGCCTTATTGTCATCGTGGAGCTTCATATCCCCATGGTTCCATTGTCGCTGAAGCAGACCAGAAGAGCCATGTATACTCGTGGTAAGTTCCGTGTCATTCGCATTGAAGACTTTATGAAAGAACTCATGCACGGAGCCATCGTTGAGAGTATAAAGCTTGTTCAGAGGCTTGGCTTCAGACTTGATGTACGGCGATGCAGGGAAGGAAAAAAGCTTTCCCCGGCTAGACCTTGAGAGCTCGCAGCCCCCGATAGTGGTTCGGACCCAATTCCATTCCCTGACACGAGATTTGTCCTCGCATGTTACGCAGGCTCTTGACTGTGGGAGGATAGTCGTCAAAGAGGAAGGCAGAAGAGCGATGTTGTCTAAGCAGGGGACCTGATCAGGCATAGCAAACCCCCCCGTCATCGCGACGAATACGAAGTCTTGAGCGGTACAGACAGGAAACGTCCAGCCTGTGTTGGCTGCTAGCTCGAAGAGCTCGGAAGTCGACTTGACCGCCTCAGGTCTGTGGTGCGGAATGAATTTGAGTAGGATGCATCTCTTCGCACCCGCTGCGCCCGCAACTAGTGACACGGGAAGTAGGCCGCTAGCCTCGTATAGCTCCTGATCTGTGGTGGTCCATTCGTGTTCGACCATGACTGCATCAGCAGCGGGATGGTTGTGCAAGAGTATGCATGCATGCTTGCGTAATTTGTAACACTGCTCGTTGATATGAACCCGAAATGCAAGACCCATAAGAGCTACTTCAATAGCAGAGTGGTGCGAACCTGGAGTTCCTCCTTCGCTGTTTTCACCCTTCGCTATGGGTCCAAAGTCGACAGTGTCGTCGTACAGGTCGGCCTCCTTCCACTTTTCGCGAAGTCTCGCCTTGGCATGTGGTCCATTTTCCCTGATTATGCTAGCAAAGTCTGTGCAGCTTCCATCCTCTACCATGCTGATGAGACGAGCCGTCGTGTCCGCCGAGTCACCGCCAGACCTGGTATGAATAGCAAGGCTTTCTCCCTTTTGGACCAAGAGGAAGTGCCAGTTCAACTTTAGGTCGAAATCGGAGTCCAGGGGTTTAAGCGGGATGTGGGGATTTTCTTCCCCGTAAGCCTTGTGCTCTACGTTGTAAGAAACGTCTTCTTGCTCGTCGTATAAGTAGAGATCGCATACCAGTGGGGCAATCGGATTGGACATTAGTTTCAGGCCAGGAACGTTCTTCATGAAGTCTCGGAGACGTTCGATGGATTGATCAGACAAGTGGTACTTCCGGGAAGTGATTTTGAGTACGCCGTTGGCTGTCTTGTCTGGATCTGGTACCATCCAGCCATGGAATTCGACTCCATTGGAGGGGTTGACATACGCGATCTTCTGGCGCGCAGCACCAACAATACGCGTAAGAGCCTCGTACAGGTTACTTACATGTACTGCGTATGGCGCTAACACATCGCTGAAGACGAGCTCATTGTCGGAGAGCAGACGAGACCGTCCTTGTGGCATTCGGTCTGCGCCGGACCTGTGCGTTGTCCTATAGATCCCACGCCAACTTCGCATTGGTACAATACACGTATATTGTGGAAATTCGGGAACAGTAACCATGTAGTATGGTACCCACTGCCCGGGCTTTGGGGGACTAGAACCGAATTTGGAATCGAGTCTGTAGATCTCCAGCGGCGCCGATAGGGGGAGGCTTTGATGTTGTCGTAGCCACTCAAGTGCAGCGGTGAGGTCCGTGAATGGGAAACCGTCAGGTGGATCGACGATCAATCCCCCATCGACGTTAGCACACTCAGCACCTGGGAAGTTAGCCTTCACCCAAGGAATAGTGCGTACATAGAAGTAAATAATCGTACCTCGGATAAGCCCAATCGTCATTTCGTTTTTGCCGAGATTGTCCATAAGCACTTTGTGAAGCGTTTTGAAGCTATTGCTCTCCGAAAGCCATCCTAGGATAGAAGGTATTCGGTCCTCGATGCTACGGGGGGGTGCCATCGTGGCCCGCAAGTTGCTCGAAGCAAAATTAGACTACTGGATAACCGACGAGGGTAGCGTTTCCTCCAAGTAATGCGAATGTCCAGTCGATCTGAAGTGGGTTTTGAGAAACGATAGGCGTGCGGAAGGAGTTTGTTTGTCGCCCAAGTGCTTCCGCATCTCACCTGGGCAGGCTGTTATGACTAGTACGAAAGCAGTGGGTGATCCTAGTTTTGGGTCACACAAGCTTACACCGGCGGCTGCGACCCCCTACGATTGGCAGACCAGAGTGGGCCTGCTTACAGTAGGCACGTTGCTGCGCCCGCGGTAGGTGCATACACTCCCCCCCCCCTGGTACGGGTGCCTGGCGTGGTTTTTGAGGTTCTTGCCGAGCCACTCCAAAGCAATAGCGAAGCCCCTCGCAAGGGCTGCAAAGGCCACAACAAGGGCTTTAGCAAATTAGAATCTAAGAACAGAGAAAACAACGCTAGGTACCCGTACCAGGGAGGGGAGTGTACGACGCTCGTGTCAGCTTGCCAGCTGAGCCTTGGCGAGGAACGTGAGAATTCTCGACGATTGCACAACGGGCAAGGTGCAGCGTCGCAAGCGAAGCGAGCGCAATGACGTCGCGCTCGCGCAGCCTCGCGCCTTGAAAGCCATATCTGCCGCCCCAATCGAAGTTGACAGTCGGGAAGCTTAAGTTCGTGTTATCTATGCCTTTCTACAGGTAGTAGATTCTAAATTGCGCGTGCGTAGACTAGTTACAGTCCCGCAGGGTTTCAATCAGTGTACTTTGAAAGAAATAGCAAACAGTTTTTACCTTTGAACGTGATTCTTTTGTCAACATTTGCTTTCCCATTGATTTAATCTTTTCTAGCCAGAACTCCCACATTTTTACGAGTACCAAAACAGTCCGCCAACAAGCAACCTCGGAGATGTCTACTAAGAACAACGCCAATTCTAGTAGCATTGCGGAGGGTCCACACAAAGAGGATGGAAACGCCACAGAAGAAGAGGTGAGCAATGTCGGACGCTTCTGCGGGACCTGCGGTGAACGCAAAGCTGGAGAGCTACACAGAACGACATCAGACACATGGATAGAGTATTGTACAATATGCAAATCATTCCATACGTTCAAAACGGCACTTGTAGCACTTCCGGCTTCCATTGATTACACTAACGCTAGCCTAGGGCGATAAGACTCCCACAGTAGCGACAACCTCACTTGCAAACGTCACTCAAGATCGTAATCGCGTATCAAAACGAGTTCGTCGATCTGCTTCACCAGATGAATCGCCACAGGCCTCGAAACGACCTCGCAAAGTTGCTTCACAACGTCAGCAGACAACAACTAAGATGGCCGAAGCACTGTCCTGGGCTGACTCAGGCTCAGGTGCAGATTCAGGTGCTTTCGAACCAGATTTCCAAGATGGCAGTGACGAAGACTTCCAACAGGGCTCCGCCGATGACCTTAAGCAGACCCAGACCATCCTACATCCGCCGATGACAGAGACTCTGTCCAGGGTTGAACAAACCAGGCTACTCAGTCCTCGCACTTCATCGCTGGGATCGGATAGTCAACATCAGCAGATGCTTTACCATCTCTTAAGAGACAGTCTTGACTCAGAGCATATTGTTGCTGAGATAAATCGCTACCGCAAAGAAGGCAAGCAGCTCCCATGGTTCCAACAGATCATACCCGGTTTAAGACCCGGTGTCGAAGGTAATGCGACGTGGTTGCTGGCCGCTCGTGAGACGCTGTGGGACGAGGAAGAGATTGAGCGTCACAAGGAAATATGCGAAAGAAACATGATGCTAGGTCAGATTCTTCCAGAGCTACCCGTGGACGAATATGGGTTAAGAAGACCTTGGCCGTCCATAATAGAAGGCCTCCAACCGATCAGCCTCCCCTTAGCCATCGCGTTGGATCAGGTTTCCTGCCTACTTGCGCGGGGGGACTGCAAGCTGTTAGATCCTACTGGGAATTGGTTGCAGACTGCACCTAGTCGCACTCAAGAGAGTAACAACCAGCAGGACGGTGATGCGAATGCCGGTAGCAATGCAAACAACCAGCGAGACACCGCCGCAGGAAATAGCGATGTCGAAGCCGACCAGACATACGTGGTAATGCGACAAGCCATACAAGACAAAATCCTAAGCCCTATCATAGACGACTTGTCTTCGAAGCTCAACAATCTTACTGGAGGCGATTCGATGCAGGTAAAGAGGAAAGAGGAGCTTCGTGAAGGTTTGCGACGCTTACGAGCAGTTATCATCACGGAGAAAGACGCACGCGATAGCGCTCGAGACTAGGGGAAGAGAATTTTGACAAGTTATGGGTGAACAAGTGCATATGAGGACGTAATTAGTGGGTTATGTACTTTGCAAATGTTTTCTGAATTCATCGCGTTATTGTTGCATGCGACGGTATACACTATGTAGGTGTCAGGATGGGACCTCGGGAGGTAATCAAAGCCATCGCAATTTTACCGTATACCAAAGTACCATCTCAACGACCAGCCTGAACCAGGACCAGACCGCAGTTTGAGTCAAAGGCGCACTCTGTTCATTCTTACTGCATCCCTGCTCGTGAACGCTCGTGAATGCCTGCCCAGGTGACCCCCGAGCGACGCTTGGGCCACGCCACTCTTACCGAGGCTGCCCGGTCGCGCACCGCTCACAGTCGCAGTGATACTCCCACCAAGAACCACCACCTATCAGTCTTCGCCCCATGCAATGGCTACTGTACACACGCATGGAGTTGCTGAAAAGGAAGCGACGAAGCTTATGCTCCGAGAGTTACCTAGCGGAACCGTGCGATACGTGTCCAACTTCACTCCGCTCCAGAGCTTCATTGGACTCATCATCTGCGACAAGACTCCAGACGCTACCAACGCCCGCGCGCTACCGGTTAACGAGCTGCTCGCGCTCGCACTGAACGAACTGGCCGCCAGCCATAGATCGCCGGACACAAATGCAGATTTCGAAGAGAGGGCCAAGCAGTCGTCACGGATCAGCAAGGTCGGATCCGGAGGCTTTTTCCAGCATCTCCCCAATCGCGACATGGCGAGCAAGGTGGCTGAGCGTCACAGCGCTTCTAGCCTAGGGTGAGTGCAGCTGGTATTCTCGATGACTGGCCGGCAGTAACAACTTATAGGCCGTCCTTTCCAGCTCTCATCTACATGAATTTCGCATGGAGTGCGCAGAGCGTCGCCAACTTCGAGCAGAGTTCCCAACGCACCCGATACATGGCCAGCGACTACCTTAACAATCGACCATCGCACGCGGTTCCCATCAGTGCTTTTCAGGTCGCAGCGCACAAGACGTACCCGCTTTACAAAACCGAACACGACTCATACGTCATCATCGTAACTTCTACCTACATTTACCTTCTACAGAACCAACAGCTCGAAGAGATTGTCCAACTATGGAACCCGAAGAAGCGGAATCCGTCCGGTGCGGATCGCAGCCATCAGCTCGAGACATTTCCGGGTCTGTGGAAAGACGACCCTTCGTACAAACTTTGGGACGCCTTTACACCATATCGCCACACTAGTCTTGAGGACTTATACAATGCCGTAGAACAGACCTGTCGCCCTTCAAACTTCACGTCTGGCGAGCTTTTCGCGATCCTTCCGCGGCCGTTGCATTCACAGCCCAGGATACCATTTGGCACGGGTGCGAGCCTAGACCATGCAGGGCAGCTTTCCCTCGTGTTGGCAGTGGACGGCCGAGTCAAAGGCCACCGGCGCGGAGAGCGGAAGACAAACGCCAGAAGGCGCGGGCAGTCCACTGAAAGTGATCAGCCTGTCAATAGTGTGGACTGAGACTGAGACTTGTTGTCTCGACGAAGTGCTCATAGACCTGGTACAGGTACAAGACATGGGCCTGGTAGCGTTCGAGAACATAATACATATAGGATGTACACCTAGAGATCAGGAAGCCCTGCATGCGATATCAACAGCCATGGACTTCGGCTACGTTAACACCAACGTCGTGGCTGTACTCATCCCTCTGTCAGAAGATGCGCGCAGAAGCGTTGATCAGGGTACAAATGCCCAATACGCTGACTGGACTGACAACGTCTTGCCCGAGGGCCTACTCGCGCGCACACACCAGCGTCTCATCAAACTGTCGTTTGCGGCCTTTGCAGGCCGGAGATCGTTCACGTTTGGCAGCTCGCGAATCAAACACTATCAACTTCCCCTTTCTTCAACTGCCTTGGTCGATATTAGCGAGCTGCATTTTACTCTCTTCATCCACGAAGCCGACGGAACCTTGTGGGTTCGAAATGCGTCGTTGCACGGCACACGGATACGCGCGGCTTCAATTGACGAAGGCCCGAGTGTGGACCTTCAGCGGGTGGCCATGCAGGTCTCTCAGGTGACACTGCTTCAGCTTGGCCGTAACGATCGCTTGGGTTTTCTCCTCATTCCCAATCGCCCTCGTCACCTCCAGTCTTATCAACAGCACATTACCCGCCACTTCCAATCGATTGTACGGCCAAGCTGCGCGCTTACGTCAACACGGAAACGACTTGCATCCACTATGCTAGGCCTGGAAACGTTGCGGAAGCGACCATTCATCTCCACTCAAAGCATCGATTGCGTGCCCGCGAAGCTCGGCCTTTGTACCACGGGGGTGAGTCTAGATGACACACAGATCCAAGTCTACGGGTATCTTGACCCTAACGGTCATCGTTAATAGATAGTGAATCCAAATAGATTGTGTTTGCCTCCTCTCGCTCCTGCTTCCTGAACCTTTCTTTGCGTTGGCAGAGGACTTTCCAGGTCGAACTACATCTACAGGCCATGGCGGGTCATTCCCTTCTTGATCGGTTACATCCCCTCATCGTTCAGAATAAGGGAGCACGTCACGAGGCCGAGATTTTCGATGCATTGATCGAGCACCCTCGTGCCGTCCGTTCGTTCGAATTTGCCCCGGTTGATGGCGCTATTGACTGCGGCACACAAAACTCGCCTCTGGGCGGCACATACAGTGAGCGATTCTGGGAGCTGGATCAATTGTACAACGAGCTTCACAACGAGCTTGACACCGCTAGTGGAGACGAATGCATGGCACTCACACTCTTTGACGCAAAAGGCAAAGAATCTGGCAGCGCTCAAAATCAGATCTACGTTACTGCTCTTAAGCAACGGAATCTGGTCCAGTTCTACATCTGCATGTGCGCAGCGAACCCCGGATTTGTCGAACTCTACCCAAACTACTATGCTGGAAGTCTGACTGCTGGGGACGATCCAGGCCGTTATGTCGCAGTCAACCTGTCACGCAAGTCTATCGTTGGTCCCGAGTCCTATCGATTCCTCAGTCCCTGCAATGCTCCCTATCGCATGCCCATAGCCCTTCTCACCGAGGCCATTTCCCGCATTCGGGCATGTGTTATGGACCCGGAAAGTGTTTACGCAAACCCGTATACGAACACTCGTTTTCCGCAGTGGCGACCAAGTACTGTTACTACCAACAAGTACTTGATGCCCGAAGAGAGTACCCAGCACGCAACAGGATTCATCGGCCTCGTCGATATTTGGAGGGGCATACGCGTAGCTAAGACTACTAGCCACATCGACATGGACTTTGACTTTGTCAACCTGCAACCAAGACTAGCAGACTTTAAATTGCTTCTCCCATCCTGCCCTCCTACGCCAACTCGCAGGCAGGTCTTTGTACAGTACAAGATCGACGCAGTGCAAAGAGCACGCCACAACACGAAAATTGCGATAGGTCGGACTGGAAACATCGGTACACATTGGTACTTTACCGATACCGAACGGTAAGGATTCCCTCGCGTTCAAGATTAATTCTTAACACTAATCAAGCCAAGGTTTGACTTCCTGTGGTACGAGTTCCGCTACACTGAGTCGAGCACCAAAGTTCTGAGCAAGGAATTCTACTTCATTCCTGAATGTGAGCTTTCTGATACGCTGTATACCTCGCTGGAATTACACGTTACTCTCGATAAAGACAGGTTTCGCCACTTTCACTCGAGCATGGACGTGCAGGGCGACTGGGTAAGCTTCGTCCAGCAAATAGTGCAGCGATACCCAAGCCCACGCAGGTCTCAGAGGCCATCGCGACCCCAAGTTCTAGAAGACTACAGCCAAACCCCCACACCAGATCGGAAGGTCAATAGCGTACGACCGCGTGACAGCAAATGGTTTTCTCGTAAATTCTTCCATGGTGTCATGACGCAATGTGCGTTACGGAGAAAGGGTCTCCTGGTAGTGTTGTCCCCACAGTTTCCCATGCCCAACTTCGCTTTCTGTCGCTACCAATGGACGCAAGACGATGCGGAGACATACCTCAGAACCAAGATACCGCCCCTGTCACTCAGCGACCTTGGCCCGTCTACGCCCGTTGTACTTACCTACGCCATTACAAAATATAAAGCTGGGTCATCTCGTGGCCCTATCCTCACTCCGTTCGAGTTTAAACGGCTAGATGCGTGGACTGAATGTCAAGTCTTGTTCTTCGACATGTTCGGAAGAGATGGCAAGGACATTCTTGGCCCACTTATAGCGATACCTTCCGACGACGTCAGCATATCAGAGGAACATCGTCAGAAGTACAAGGTTGACCTCGGAAAGAGTACGAGAACGGATTACTTGAGCCGGAGTCCTTTGCTTGCGCAGCAACTTCACACTCGGTACACTTTAGCAGACTACACCCTCTCCACTCTTGGTCCGATGATCTTTGAAGAGACAGCGCCTCAATCTCAATGGTCTGATGTGTGGGAGCTTCTGGATGCATGTTCAGGTGTCGCGAGCTTTGCATTTCCCCCTGGTGCGATACGAGAGCCACACAAGTTTCGTGTGACTATCCAAGACCTACATCAGCGCCTGGCCGACTACCACGCTAGCGTAGAAGGCCGGCAACTTTTGGCGGCACACCCGATCGATGGCTCGCAAGTTGGAGACGAGGAGGATGAGGTGTAAGAGAAGTCAGCCACGACAGGCGAAACGGAGTTTGAACGGTATTTCGTCCGCAACTGTCTACATGTACACGCATTACCAATAGCTAGACCAACATTGATCTTTCTCCACCCCCATATCCCGCTACTACACATGGATACATTGAGTGCCTACGAAATTTCGCAACATGTTTGTAGGATGATTAGAAGCTTCACGTTATCTCGAACAAAGACCGGAGAGCAAACCGAGCCTCTTTTAATACGAAACACTGTCCACCAAGTTTCCATTTCCTAATTATCTACCATTTCACCATGGCAATGTCTACCAAAAGAAGGCTATCAGAAGGCACATCATTACCAGCTTACGAAGACACCAAGCCGCCAGCCCGAGCAGGAGACAGAGAAGAACATGATGAGCCAGAAAGCCTTGAAGGATTGTCGAAGAAGGCCAAGCGGGAGCACAATACGTACACGGGCGAGAAAGACGACGAACAGAAGGAGCGCATCGATGACTGCACGCCCCCCCCGCTCAATGAGACCTTGAGAACTGCGGACGATACAACTATCGACGGAAACCTTGATACCATGGATGGGGTTGAGCGTGAGCAGACTCCGACCGGTCCAGACCCCTCACAGGCCACTCACGAACCAAGCGAAGCCGAAGTCATAGTATCAAAACACTGGCAATACGCTCGCATGCACTCCACGAAGCGAACCACTGTCGGTAAAAGGCCTTTACTCAAGTTTACCAGTCAACCAACTGACTTGGAGGTGCTTTGCCTTGTATTCGATAAATCAGTAAAATGTCCCAATGTCCTCCCAGCAGCGTGCCGGGACGAAACGAAAGACTCTCACGCGATCGTGGCGCTGTGGCTAGAGACCGTGAACTTTGTCTTTGTTGGGGACGTTTACAAGTTCAGGGCTGAGCAAGAGCGAACAGCCTTTCATGACATGCTCGTGCATCAATGTTGGCCTCAGCATCATGATTGGGGTTCAGATCACGTGCTCAAGGTCACTATCCCTGGCTTCTCCAGGGCCGTTCCCGGAGCCTGGGTGTGGCTCTTTGAGGCGTGCCAAAACATGCAAGAGATAGCGATCGGCATCCGAGCCGAAGAGATGATACCCGACAAAGAGGGAGCTGACGGGGTCGAGGAGTTCATTGAGAAGTGGAACCTGGATCTTCTCTCAGGGACTTGTCTAAAGAAGCTGACGGTTGCGCTTGATCCAACAGGCAAAAAGGGACTGATGACGTCGGTTACGCAAGTTTGGCTCCAACGTTTTGCTCAGCATATGAAAGGCTTGAGAGCGGGTAAGCTACAAGTGTTTCTTGACACGACCCAATTCTGGGATCGCGACATCCCCGCCGACGTCCGAGAGATGTAGAAGACGGTGACATGGTGGACTATGGAAGCGAGGACCTGTGTCACATTAGGTTGTCAACACTCGTGGTGACGGTGGGGCTGAGATGCTTACCCAGCGAGTAGTGGACATAGAATAGTAGGGATCCATTTGCAGCGTCAATAGAAAGCGTTATCCACGTGTGCTACTACTCTATTCTTTCTGCGCTCTTTGCTTTCAAGGCTTGATATGGTGATACGAACCACGTACCGTCGTTCTGTTCGCGAGAGCCGGCCAATGGAGCCGCTAGCGTTGTTTGATCCTGAGCTCGAGCCCTTTGTACGACAATGCGACCGCAGTGGCCTCACGCCAGGCGAACAACACCATCATTCTTGACCACGCGTATCTTGTTGCGTACAGATTGCCTGGTTTGCTAAAATCATCATTGGCATGTCTTCTCTGTGCTATCATAGTACTATGGGATAGATGACATGACAGGATCACTGGCCACTGTCTGAGCACCATGGACGGGTCAAGTTTCTTTATCTCAGCCAGACAAGTCATGTAGGTACGTATCAGACTCAGCGAGTCTCAGGATACGGCAGGCCAAAGTTGAAGATCGAGACAGGAGGATGTCTCACGTAGGTAGTAGAAGAGTATAGAGCATTCCCGTCTCTACGTGCTGGAGAAACAAACTTCCTATACTTGCCAACTAGCATCGTCATTTCCTGTCAGCCATAAAACAACTTTTACACTGCCACTAACGCCACACCACGAGAAGCATGGCATCCAACGCAGCCATCCCCACCAGCGTGTCCCGCCCTCGCGACATCAACTACGCCGCTGATGAAACTCTGCTTCCCGAGCCTGTGTTCTCCGGAGTCTTCCACAGGGAGCTCGATCTCCTCACGACTGTCGATGCCAGTCCGTCAGAAACGCTACTCATCATTTGCGAAGGCAGACGACAAGGCATCAGAGCCGTCATACAGGAGTATATCGACAATGGGCGCAACCCCACAGGCCGTGCCTTTCTACTCACCCAAAGGTCTCGGACTACAGCCAGAGGCGGCGTCTTCACAGACACAACCTTCCAGTGGAAGCCCGAATATCGTCACAATCTACCTGGTTCGGTGCTCGCAGCCTACTTCCGAAGTCCTGTCCACACGCTCATCTGCATTGGTATGCTTGAGCTAACGACCGATATCAACATGGCAGGCTGGCTCAGCAGTTGGAAACAAGCGCTCTTCCCGGGCGGATCCCTAGTCGCGGAACTGAACTGGCATTGGCAGGACCGCACCTGGCGAGACACTGCGAAGCGCTATGCTGAGATGGCATCACCTCTTGGCTTCTGTCTGCAGTCTGTCAACGGCTTTGATGTCTCTATGGGGGGTCTCTTGCAGAGTCGCGTTTCGCAAAGCGAGCGGTTCCGCCGAGCAAGTACTTATCGAAGGCAGGCAGCAAGACTTGTACGACATGGTCGTCACGTTCAGCTAGGTCAGTATCTTGAGTCCAAGGCCAAGGACGCGGAGACGAAAGGAGTTCTTGCTCAAGATGATTTCATTGTGCAGGGCGACAGGCTGTACGGTCGATTCGTCCAATGTGTCCCGGAGCCTTGGGTAGACATTTGATTTGATATTTAGCTCTAGGTAGTCATCTAGCCTTTCTGGCAGCATCCATACCGTCTTGAGCAGAGGTTGTGATATCAAAGTAGTGTATTTGGAATGCAATGTTTGGCGCGCCACAGCTTGGTAGTATTACATGGTCGTGCCTTGTTGGTATCTCGCCCGCAATGCAACCGGCCCATCGTAAAATCCGTGTTCCCCACCTTTTGAACAACAAAGACCTCTCTGACGCGGTCACTCCCGACATATCCGTACCTCGACGGCGCCAAGAACGCTCGGAGTGATACCGCAAAACCGGCCGACGACTTTGTTGTACTCTGGCACCGTCGCAAGCCTATTGGCTTCCTGCCAAACGGATACATCCCCACGCATTTGCTGCAAAGCGTCCAGAAACTTTCCCCACAACTGAGCCTGCTTGCCAACAACGTCCAGCAAAGCACCAATAGATTTGTCATGGTTGCCAAGAGCGGAGATGCGTGTTTCGAACCCCTGGAGAACCTCATCAGCTGCCCCAAGCTCCGCCGTAGCTTTTCTTGGATTCCGTGCATCAGCCTCGTAAGCTGCCTTTAGAGATGCCTGAGCGTCCTGGCGTACGCGGGTCGCATCCCGGGCGTCCCTCATGTAGCTCTGCGCAACATGGAACGACTCTACGGCAACACTCGCGCGCCGCGACAGCTCCTCTATCTCGTGCGCTAGGCTTGTCAAGGCCTCTGGGGGTTGGCGACGGTGTGGGCTAGCCTTTCGGAGGGGTTCGGATAGGCTGGAGTACATGTACGACGCAGCATGGTATTCTGCAGCGGCGGCCAGCTCGATCGAGTTGTTAGCCGCTCGGACTGCGCTGGCTGTGTCTCCATCAAGAGATGGCATGTCGATGCTCGCAGCAGCTCCGAAGTAACCGTTCAAGCGCTCTAGCCTCCACTCATCAGAGAGCACAGGCTTCTTAGATTGCCAGGAGAATGACGGGCTCGCATCCCATAGCTTGAATGGCAAGGCGACGAGAAGACCACCAAGTGCGATTTTCATCCAGAGCTTCAAAGAGAGGCGAGCGGTCCGTCGGTGGAGACGTGCAGGGTGGTTGGGAGTACAAACGACAAGGGCTTGCTGAGCTTCTTCGGAAAACTCTGGGTACGAAACGTTGCCTACTTTGATTAATATCAGGACTGTATGTGCGTAGGCGAGCGATCTGGTAGGAAGCAGTTCAACATACCCTCAGCATTCGTGCCCCGGACATTGCTAGGGTTGTCAAAAGTCCCGTTAAAGGCAGTTCCTTCTCGTGCATTGTTGGACGATGTTGTATGCTGGACGTCATTTGACCGAGCGAAGGCATTGATTGCTTGGCCAAAGGTATTCAAGCCAGGCTCACTCTTAACTGTCGGATGCGCCACGCTGCGTGATCGTAATTTGGGCGCTTGTTGACTGCTAGGTAATGCCGTGACGGGCTCGTATGATTTCTGCTTGCGCAGAGGTGACCGCGGAGCGCTCTGTTCGTGTTGCAGTGCCCCAGCGGCGAGGAGCCGCCTCCGTATTTCGTCAGGATGTGGTGGCATGATTCCCAACAGAGGTCGAAAGTGGTGTAACTACCTAGGTACGTGGTGGACCGCAGCGTCACACGATGACCCCGAGGATGATGTAGGTAATGTAGCGGGTGGAAATTCACAAGCATAAATGCATAAGATCCATGGATGTGTCTCACCCTTCACCCTTCCTCTCCAGCACCGCACGCCGACGCAAGAAGACCAGTAGCAGCTTTGCTCACTCACCATGTCCAAAGACAGCGCAGCTGATCTGCAGTGGGCGCCCTGCCCCGTGCGCCCCGGCTGGACCGACGCAGAACCCGAAAACCAGATTCACGCGCTCCGAGCAGAAACAACAAAGCTGAGGAACGACCACAAGGCGCTCCAAGCACAGCACAAAATCCTCTACGAAGCAGTGGAATTGTTTGTAAAAGAAGCTACAGAAAAGGACTTGGGTGAGGACCCGGGTACCCCATTCATGCCGGAAGAGGAGGAAGAGGAGTACGATCAGTTACAGGAACTCCAACGGTGGGCTCATCAATGGAAGGCCGTTTTCGCAGAGTTTACGGCAGCACCCCGAGGCGGTCAAGACTCGCTTACACCTACTGGGGCTGAGTTCCAAGCGCACCAGCGTGAAGACGGCTCAGAGCGGGATCAGAGCTCAGCGCAGGATGAAGGCTTTGACATCCGTCCGTAGGGGCCAATGACCACCGAAACCGGCATGTAAGTTTCCATGCGGCGCGAAGCAACAGCACCCTGACATCGTGCAGCTGCCCAGATGATCACACAATCAACTCCGTGCCTCAACACTCGTCATGTCCTATACGGTTCTGAATGGAGTCGCTCGTGATCGTACCATCGCCACATATACCAAATCTGCGCCAAAGAACTCTCTTGATATTCGCCTTGCTACCGCGTCCCATGACGGTCACCCTGGGCCCGTCTACTTTGTCACGGGATGGCTTGCGACATGAACGAGACAGCCCCGCAAAATGTATCGGATTGCTTTGTACGTACGGGTAGCTACAGAGAGCCACGTAGTTGTCGGCGGCGGGGTCAATGACGCTGCTCAAACAGGGGATTTGATTGCTCACAAGCAAGTAGTTGAGTTACAAGAATATATGTGTACTGCTTCGTGTCTGCTTTTCCATTCTTGTCGCGGAGCCGGCTACTACTTTGCAACATCTTCCCCATCACAACCATCGTACGCACGAACTAGATCGACTCAGCTACCCCCAACGAACCGTACTCAGCTCTGTACAATGCCTTCCACGAAAGCTACCCTCATCATCATGGGAGGTGCCATAGCCGCCATCGCGGTGACTATGGACTGCTACGCAGATGTCATAGTGCGCCAAATCGACAAGCATTTCGACATGTCTGAGCATACCATGGCGTACTTTGACCACTTCCCAATCGCAAACGCTTGCCCCAGCGACTTGGCATCGTGGCCCGCTAGTCTGCGCAATGTGGTAAGTAGCTCAAGACCCTTCTATCAAGATTCGCAATTGGCCCTAACCGCGCGTCAGGTCTTCGCAGGCTCCAACATGATCGTGAACATAGCGCCACCTTCTTTCGTCGAATCCGCAATGCCGATCGCCAATCTCATGGCCTCCATCACTGATCGAGTAACCTCGTTTGCCCATAATGTAGTCTACTTCGGACATCGAGCTCGAGACTTGGCAACGCAAGCCTGGGTTATTGCTTTCAAGACAGCTGGTGCCGTGACTGAGCTGCGAAAATTTCTGCACCAGTTGTGCGAGCCCTCGGTGGCGGATGCTCTACTAGCCATCGTTGCCTTGACATCGTCCTCCGGCATTCTGGTAGCAGTTTCCATCGTCGTGCCCTGGATACTGATGGTGGTTCGCCTGATCGCATATCCGCTCGTCTTCTTACTCTGGCTTGCTCGTTTGATGGTCAAGGGTGCTCTTGTAAAGTTTCCGCCTATAACACCTATACAATACCATGCTGACCAAAGGTTTAGCGCCTGTTCAAGCCTTCTGCTGTTTAGGTAACGCCGATGACGACTACACACGCTCCCAACCGATTGCGATGATACGGTCGACGTCCATTTTAGGGGAACATCACCACAAGTTGCTCTTCCCATGAGTTGGTCGCGGCGCTATCTTCGGGCATGGTGGGCTACTGTTCATGACAAAGGGAATAGGGCAACCCGGGCGTCGACGAGGCTTTCTCCCTCAGTCTATCTTGCAAATTAGTCGGGGTATTGCTTCATACTCATAACTGCATGTTGTAATATATATACGATCAATACATCATGTATCGCTACATTTTCATGAGCCTATAGTGGAATAGCCTTGCTGTGACACAATTTGTGACCTCTCCCGAGTCAGGAGGACATTGCCACACGCTGGGCATTTCTTTGTTTGGCAAACACTTCCCGTGTTTGTCCTCTTAACTAAGCTACATTTCCCGTGTATATTCTCGCCCTTCGCGGTGGGGGCCCTCATACTTCACACGTCTTCTCATCTAAACATATGTCTAAGTATGTCCGGCTACCCCTACCCACACTCCATGGACGACGCTGAAGACTATGAAATTATAGTCTCCAGCGACCTAGATGTGCCACCTCGACCAACAGATGCACAGCGTACTGTTGTGATAGTGCTGACAGATACGATTCCACTCCAGCACTCGTTACTTCACCGGATCGATCGCCTTGGTCATATTGTGGTCGCTCCATGTCATCCTGATCGACCCATCACAACAGGTCATGGGTTCACCAACCGTTGCTATTTCTATCATACTGCAGAGCCGTTTGCCAGCATGTCAGCTGAGCATTGGCTCTCTGCTAAAGCGCACATTCGGCATATCACGAACCAACCCGTCGTTCTTCACATTATCGTGATTGGAACCCCAAGCAACACTGCCGATCTGGCAATCAATACCTTTCTTTCCGATTTCCATACTCAGCGCCGGCTTGAACCCGTGACTGTCATCGCGGAGGCGTTTCGAGAATTCGCCTACGAGCCGTACCATAGTGTCGTGCGTCGATACCAACATGCTGTTAAGCAACAGTCTCTGTGGCGGATTAGCAGGGTCAACGGCATGCAGGTGCGGCAGAACGGCACTCTTTTTGCCGATGCCATCACGATCGGTGCATTACGTCGACATGGTTTCTGTCACCGACAAATTGCCGAGTATAGGAATCGGGAACTGATGGATGAGCGAGTCGACTGCATGCTTCAGGCGTGGGAGCCAAGCCCCCAACACGCGTTTCGGCAGGGGGAGCGCATCTTCTTGACCCTTCAAGCTTCGAATTGTTCGTTTAACAATTAGTTACTAGCTATTGCGATGGACAGGAAAGTTGACGTGAGCTTAACCCAAGATACGACGGAGGTAAAGAGGCTGGCAGTAGGCTACCCTGCTGGAACAATGAACGGATGAAGGATTCTTACCTAGGTAGTCTTTGCATAGTTACTCTTGGTGCTCGTGTAGCTTGTCAACATCTAGCTATGCGCCTCTAGAGTTCTTACAATACTAGTGCTGTCGTACTGGCATCAGAATCGCAAGGTGGTCGTTCATACCCAGGTGTCGCGCGATAGACATGCAATGTGTGCACAGACCAACCGTTCCATTAGGCCCCGCGCGGGCGCGCTCGCAAGGTCCCGAGGTCCAGCCACACATCGCAAGCGCAAGGCGAAGACTGACGACGGCACCGACACCGAAGTCACCCCAAGAAGACTCCGACACCGCGCAAGCGCAAGGTAACGGCCAAGGTCAAGGAGGAGGGCAAGGACACTGAGGTCACCCCCAAGAAGACTTCGACACCGCGCAAGCGCAAGGCCAAGGCCACGGCCGCGACCGCGACCGCGACCGCGACCGTGACCGCAACCGCGCCTAAGTCTAAGTGCAAGTCCAAGACTGACGATGGCAGACGCCAGTCACACTCAAGAAGCCAGCCACACCTCACAAGCGCAAGGCCACGGCCGACAAGGAGACCACGGCACCTCAATCGCCAGCGGGAGTTCAGAGTGCTGCTGCCGCCTAGCCATATCACCGTTCACCACCTCAACCTCACCGTATGGACCCTAGATCCAGCGCCCGCTCCTAGCTGCTGGGGACTATATAGTCCTGCTGCCCGCTGTTTCAAACCGCGTGGATCTAGGCCTTTTCTTCCTCTTTTCTTCCTCTTTTCTTCCTCTTTTCTTCCTCTTTTCTTCCTCTTTTCTTCCTCTTTTCTTCCTCTTTTCTTCCTCTTTTCTTCCTCTTTTCTTCAACATGCTAATGGTTCAGCGCAGTACATTCGAAACATCGCACAGCGCTCAAGCCCAATCCCAAGGCTGACGACAACAACAACACCTCACAAGCGCAAGGCAAAGACTGAGGACCGCGGCCGCAACCGACACACGCCTGGGGCTCAGCATACAAGCGCTGGGTATCTTGCGCGGCAGTGCAGCGGAACCCCTAATATACTGGCCACAGGCAGGGCGCGACGCGACTGCAAATTCGATGCGAGTGCTATACGACTGCAGCGACACTTTGAGCCAGTTTACGGCCTCCGAAACACAAGCTTGTTTATCAACTCCGCAACATACCCAGATGCAGAGTTGAGAGCCAAGGCCCACGTAGCACTCTCATTGCCAGAATGGATCGTTCTAGTCTACTTGGATGACTCGCGACCCATTGTCGGCCAAGTGGATTGCTTTGCAATACCAGCATCTTCTATATGCGAGGAGCAAACCCTGCGGTCATGACTTAAGAAGTCGGAGTATCTGGCTGAAATCAAGCATCAGCGACTACTGTTAAACAAAACCCATTGTTAAACGTAAGTACACCACTTTGGGGCATTTTTCCCCGGAAGCGCTGCTAATATAACTTGTGTCTCTACAGAAATCTGATTCTCGTTCCCAACGACACACTAATGTCTACTATTTACCCACATTGGTTGAGAGCGGTCACCGTATACGGTGTAGTGTGGTACTTTCGCAATACATCCCGCACCCAGGATGTTGCCCTGGCTTTTTCGAACAGCCTAAATCTTAGCGAGGACGTTCTGGCAGCGGTACTGGAGCGTGCGGAACGACTTGCTGCTTCGAGAGGCACAAAGATACTCGTCACAAACTTGGCCAAAACCTGTGTCATGGCTAGCGGGACAGCGTCGAGCGTCGTCCGCGACTTCTTTCTCGCCCAAGAAGTCATGTGGATGCAGATGGATTTGCTCCCATGTTACATCAAGCTCCGGGTCTTTGGTCCTGGCTATGACCAGCTCTTAGTCAACGAGAGGTTGCGAGCCGTGGACAGAATCACCGATGACAACAACTCAGCCACAAGAGGACCGTTGTTGATAGCATCTGCCACTTTAGAGGACGCGGTTGACTTGGTCCCGTCCGATCCCGTCAAAGTGTCCACGGTAACCCCCGTGCAGGAACTCACAGCGACCGAGCTTGACGAAACCGCAATATCTGCTGAGTTCGTGCTTCCAGAAACTCATAACAGCGCCACCGCGACACTCGCCAACGATCGAATCTTCCGGGCTTCTCAAGCTACTCCCGTGGAAGATATCAGTGAGCCCAGTCGCGGCAACGATGCTGAGCCGGCGACGGAGACGGCGGGAGACATTGCCAAGAAACTCAGCGCTTTCCAGCACTGCCCAGGCATCACCAGCGATGGTACGAAATGCAGCCGCCGGAGGATCATGACGCCAGAGCGCAGCACGGAGAGATGGTTCTGCTCCAAGGCCCATCGCAGACAGTGGCATGATGGTGAGACCATCACTAGGTAGATGTCTAGCACTGTTGGAGCATTCGTCGGATAGAGTATGGTAAATGATTTGGCTACCTCTTTGGTTGCCCTTAAAGTTACGTTAGTATTGAGCTTGCTGCGTCTTGTGTCAACTCGTATATGCTATCTAAAACTCTATCTACACTTTTTTTGTTACAGCGATTCGACCGTGAGATCTGTTGCAAGGAGAGCCCGCTCTACCTCCAGCTGCGAAACGCCGTTCGAACCCCTCTTCACCCACAGCCTTGGTGCTTCAAGCTCTCTCGCAGGGCTCACTCGGCTCGCTCGCGGTCTGAGCGCTCATGAGGTCTCTTGCCATGTCAAGACGCGGTCGCGAGCAACTCTTTGTGCTTTGCGCTTGGTTCAAGTGCGGTATGTACAATATAGCTGGGCGATCAAGTGGCGCACGTTGAGAGAACATTGTGCGCATAGCTTTCGCGAGTTCGCCAGTGCGGAACACGGTCGTAGCAGGATCTCTTGCGTAGGCAAGCAACTGGACATTAAACTTTGATCGCTCCTGGTTGATAAGCTGGCTGACGCTTCCATGATCGGTAACACTTGAATCCTCAGCGCCAGCAAGATCCGCCAGTGTGAGCATCGCAAAGCCGGCTCCCCTTGGGATGAGGATCTGACAGATCAAGTGACTTCGTGAGGAGTTCTTGTTGACCGCAGTGGGCAATGTCTGCCGACTGGCAACAGTCCAATCTACAAGAGCTTGAAGATGTTCTGCTGAAGTAGCCGAGTAGGCTACTACCCGGTTCTTGAAAGCTGACAACTCCTGCCTTGTGCTGCTAATGGAGCGGAGCTTGGCTGGTGGAAAAGTTACCGATTTGTTGACGACGCCGTCCTGAATACTGTGTACTATCTCCGTCGCTGCGAAGAAGACTTGGCCTAGATGTAGCTGATGAAAGAGTAAGTCCCCAGCCCATTGAGCAATGCAGTCACGTGTCTCGAAGAGTGTGTAGGATTTCCCGGTGCCGGAATAGCCATCGGCTAAAATGACAAATCTGCCTCCGCGAACTGCAACAAGCTCGATTGCCTTCTGCATAAACAGGCAGATGTCGAGATTCATCGTCTGCGCACTGAAGACGTGAGGGAACTCATACTGTGTGAGCAAGCGGTCTGGCGAGTTTCTGTGCTCTCCCTCTTCCTCTTTCTTTGCTTCATGAGGAAATAGCTCGTAGATCTCCAGAGCGCGTTGCGACGCAGTGACGAGCTTCTGTGACTTGTCGAATACCTTTCCGGGGGTATCAGAAGCCGTGGAGAGAATGTTGGTCACCCGCGGCACACAGAGCACTAACCATTCTTGCTCAGCCCAGCACGTCTCAACGGTGATGGGTAGTGCTACAGGGGTAGGCGTTGAAGAAAACCGCTGTTCAGCTTCAGGAGATATAATGGTGTCGGCAACATCAGGGTCGCCATTCATGCACTCATTGAAGGGAACCGGAATAGCATCCTCCAAGTCATGAGTTGCTTCAATAAGCCTTGTCTCAGACACTCCGCCTGAAGTCTGGCGTTCATGGTATCTCGCAGCCAGAAAGGGCGGCTCATCCACATCATACTCTGACACGTCTGTGAGTGATGCTAGCCGCAGTGCCGAATCCGCAGTATGGGGGTCGCGCGTTTGTACCATGGAGACTTCGACCTCGATAGGCGCGGGTTGTTCTTGTCTTGTTGTGTCGACGACCGAAGAGGACTGACCAAGCGACACATGTTCTCCTCGACGTACGGTAGATGAGTGTGCTTGCTGGGCGCAAGGCGCACCCATTGTGACGAAAGCATGATGCAGAGGCATTACGAGGAAGTCAGGAGTTCTAGCACAACATCAGCAAGACATTTTTAGATTGCATAGGCTACGTAGCAGCTAGGGATAACAGAAACCTACCCGCGGAAGAGCCTTCGAATGAAACCGAACAAACATTTGGCTTTGATGAGATACGGCAACCAGTACCGGAGAAACTTGACCCAGGCAATTGTGCGAAGAGAAAGCCTTTCGCCACACACCTCGACCAAGCCACATACAAGTTCATCAAAAACCCACGGTGCTGCCAAATAGACTACGGCATAACCTAGTGCTTCTCCGAGAATCGACCGGACCACGCCACCGTAAGCTTCAGTATTCAAGGGATTGACAAGAGGGTCGCTGTAGCGTTGAAGTATGCGATCGCGTATCTCCTGCCAGGACTCTACGCTGCTAGTAGGTTCTTGGCCTGAATCGCCATTACCGGTCGCGACAGTATTGGGGGACGGTTCAGATGTGCCCTGGTGGGGTTGGTCGTTGGGATCGGGTGTTGATGGCGAACTCATCGTTTCGAGATCGAGTGGCACGTTGCCGACTTCAACCGCTGTCGAGGATGATTCCGATATATCCTGTGGAGGGTGGTCGTGGGGATCGGGTGATGTAGGTGGAGCGCTCATAGTTTCGAGGTTGAGGCGTTGGTGTCGCTTTCTATTGTTGTTGCAATGATGGCGCAGACAAAAAGTTTCCAAGTTTTGATGAGATCAGAATGGCTTGTGGTATGCAGGAACGCAGTCTTCAGACTTATATATGTAAGCGGTCAAGCTGAATTAGGTGAACCATATAGGAAGACACTCCCCCGATTGTCTCAGATGAAGACAATGCAACACATGACCGAGACGTCTTAGTACATGTATTATATCCGTGTTAGACAATTATTGTAACGTTATTGCGGAGTACATAGCTGCCGTTCCAGGCGGTCTGCTTCTATTTTACCAGTATGCACACATCTGTTATCAACGACTATCCTCTCCGAGTACCTACTTCTTACAATATGGCAACTGACCGGCTGGAAGCCTTAGAAAGGTTTCAGACAATGTTACGGGATAACGAGGTATGGAGTTGAGATACTGCGATCGTACGCAGCATTATACTAACGCTGTAGTTCATCATGGCTTTGCAGGAGAACCCTGCCCAGTCTCTTCCCCCTGACTGCAAGAAGGTGTTAACGGGGGTTGCATCTGCCTTTATCCCCGATATCAGCGAACTTCCCCGGAAGAAGAGCAAAGCTAGCGATGGTAGTTCAAGCCAGACGGCCAGAGACAAGGGAGTAGGTGGCGGCGGCAAGAAGAACGCAAAGAGCCCCTTCGTCACTATCCTGCGCCTCCAAGAGCTAGCGCTTTCACCCGTCGTCCAAGCCCACCTCGACACCAACAAGACTGACGCTCAGTCATTCTTCTACTCCAAAGAACTTGTCAACAACGTCCAAAACTACAGCAAAGACTCGACCGGTGAGGCAATGATCATTCAGTACCAATACACCAAGACCGTCTCTCGTCAGCTTGGTCTTAACAGCATTCGATGGCTCTTCCTTATGCTCATGTGGCACGATCTCGTTAAGCTTGCACGTCCCGACTGTACCGGCAACCGGATCGGCCATCTTATGAAGGTTCACCTTCTGGAACTCATCAAACCTGTGTACGCTAGCAGCTCAGACATGCAAAAGCTCGCTATAGAAGAGGTGGCAGATGAGTTGCATGCTTGGTGCAAGTTCGGAGCCAAAATTAACATTCTTGTGGAGAACTTCGGCGAGGGTTGCGTCTTCTACCTGCATAACATTCTCTCTCCAAACTTCCTCTCCGACAAGATGACAGCTTCTGGTGGATACTATGTTGAAGCTATCACCTATCTCCAAGACTCTCTACATATTACAAAGTTGCTAGATGATAATCCGCCAGTAGTCACGCTCGGCCGCAACATTCGAAGATACCTTGTCCAACCTTTTAGAGAGTCAAAAAAACAGATGTAGATAGTTAGAATTGATACATGCACTTTGTACATACAAGCTTGGACAATATACCGCCTCTTAGCTATACGTCCTCTGAACCACGGCAACGCCAGAAAGAACGTAGTTGAAGAGGTTTGTCGACTTGGAACACTGCTCTTCTTGGCACCGGTTTGGAGAAGTTTTGGTCAATCACCAGTATGGACGGCTGCTATATCGCGCAATCTCCTCCTTGTACTCACGAAGAACATGGTCGAATGGAACGATTTGAAGCCTTTGCTCATCTGGGTGCTCTACGCCGCTGCAATCGAAACCAAGGATCTGGCAGAACGGAGCCAGTTCGTATTCATGCTTGGCATTCTGATGAGTGGCATGCAGCTGCAGGCGTGGGACGACATCATGTTGATTGTCAAAAGCGTATTGTGGGTGGAAAAGGTTTTCGCAGGCACTGATGAGTTGATTCGCGATGAGGTTATGCAGATTGTCAACCACAATCCTATGAACATGTTCCCGGTTGAAACTACGCCGCCGCCAAGTTTCTTGGACGACTTTACGGCGGAAACGGAATAGAACTAGACTAGATCTGGAAGGAAGACACCCTTGTTGATGCAGCTACCAATAGCAAGACTTAGCATTGCTGCTTGACCTCGCTCTCTTACAGTTATAATACTTACAGTAAATGCCTACCACGACTGTTGGGAGCATACATAGAGCTGCTGTGATCGATCTAACACTCACAGCTACCTTCTACCTAAGTATAGATCTGCATCTAGGTTGCTCTCATGATTTGCATGCGGCTATCATTACAGAATAGTCACAGGAGCCCCACAGAACAAATTGCAGCTTTCTAGAAGCACGCGAACTATTATACCATACCCGTCAAAATTGCTGTTCTTCATCCGGCGAGTGCGCTAGTAAGATAAGTTACAGATGCTGCATGACTCAAGAAATTGCATTGCGCTGACAGCTATCCACAATCTTGCACAGTCTATGATCTAGGTGCCCTCCCGTTGTAGTCCATCCCCGGCTCTGCTGTATAGTTTGCGAAGCAGTCATAATTGAAGTCGATTTCTGCACTGCGCTTTTGAAGGAGCTCGACAACGTGATCGAAAGAGCAGAGACCGTTTGCATCAGCTGGACATCCTGGGTGAGACTCGTTGATCGGGACAACGGCGTCATTGCTGGTTGACCAGGTTAGCTGTGCATCGAGTTTCGAAAGAAAAGAGTATACGTACACAATGAATCTGATCTGCTTTGTTGGTTGCATGGCAGGGCAAGAAAGAACCTGGGTAGTGAAGTGTGTGGCGAACGGCACGAGCTTGCTAGCTACGAAGCTGTTCTGCCCTTCATTACCAAGAGGACTCAGTGGTGGGCCCTTGAACAAAGCGGTCAAGTTAAACGCAGTGAGTGTGTCAAGGACGACAACTTCGTGCGTAGCATCGGCATAGATAGACTGGTCGAGCGGGAAGTACGTCGAGGAATTGTCAAAAGTCTCGTTCAGTGCGGAGTTGGCGCCAGGATACTGATGAGTGAAACGTGCGATAAATTCGTCTAGGAAGCCTTTGCCTTGAGCAGCAGAGACAGGAGATCCTGGGCCGTTGTTGTAGTAAAAGGACAGATCGAAGTAGTACTCGTAGTTGAGGAAATCTTGTTCGTTGAAGAGGTTGCAGAAGGCGGAGTAGCCGAGAGCGTGCGTCTCATACGAACACAGTTGAAGCATAGCGATGGCGTCGGTGGAAGTAAAGTTGATACCGCTAACCTGCGACTGCAGACGAGCGAGGGTGGCGTTGAACGCGTTGTTTGCAAATTGAGCTGCGACACGGCTACCGATACTGCCTCTGGTCGCGATGTTCGAGTTGTTGCAGATCTCGTAGGGCGCGCCGGAGTTGTTCACACCTAGAGTTTCAACAAGCAATTCAATGCTGACCTCGTCCATGTACTCGGGCACGCCGAAGAACCCGGCGGCGAAGTTCTCCGCAGTCTTCACCATGCGGTCTTGGGATTGTGTTCGGAAGACCGGAATGGTGCCCGCTTCAGTGAAGTTGTTCAGAAGATGGCCATACAATTGGCGGTACTCAATACCCAACAGGAAGTTCATGCTGCGGCCCGAGGGTGTCAGGAGCTCGGCACCCAACTTGTATGTCCAGTCGCTCAGAAAAGAAAGCTCTCCAGAGACTGCAAGACCGGTTTTCGTAGCGTTTGCAATCTTTTGAGCAAAGGTTGCGGGCGCAGCGCCACTGGTTGGGTATCTAGCGCCGTGACGGTAGAGCAGGTGCATCTGCGTAATGTCGCAGCCATCCGGGATCAGAGGACTAGCATCAGGTAGACCGTAATCTGAGCTGCGAACTGAATACCATGGGCTCAAGTTACCCCAGTATTTGGTGATATCAAAGTTTGGAGACTGCGAGCCACTGCCATGTGGCTGTGGCTTGATAAGAGGGTACGAAGATGCATCGCCATCGTTGTAAGGATACGACGGTGCCGTCTGAATGGCATTCGGCTCGGCACCTGTGGGAGTCGCTGATGATTATTGCGTTAGATTAAAGGCCCGAGTCATAGATGTTCAAATGACTTACGGCCAGGGAAGCCGACGACAGACTCTGGCGGGAAGAGTTCGGAGTTGACCTCGGCTATACAATCAACCCATCAGCATTCCGCTCTCTGCGCAGCTTCAGTCAAACTTACTGCCAGCGGGAGGATACACATCCGCACTGCTCGCGCCTGCATTTCCAGCTGCCGAAATTGTCGTGGTTGGTACAGCTCCAACCCTTGCAAGGAGGGCAAGCAGTGCACCTTTACGGGCGGTGTTGGTCGTGATACGCATCTTCATGATCGTAAAAACCTAGGTTCTCAGAATGTATACCAAGGAAAACAAGCTCCCACAAGCCTCGATGCCCAGCAATGTGGGTGTCCCAGTGACCCATCTTATAGTCCCCCAAGCCCTGCAATGGCTGAGAAAGGCGTTAGAGTTGCGCACTTCGCTACCGAAGGGATACACGCGGCTCGTAGTAAGCGTCGCGCAACCAATGAGATGCGGAACTGTGAACACATGCGTTGACCAATATTTCGGTAGCAGGGATACCATCACCTCAATGACAGCATTGACGTTTGCGGGATGCAGATATCACGGTACCCAGGTACTCATGCGGTAAGGTATGCATTGGTGTGGGGGAGACCTGTGCAGCTCGTAAATTCTGGTCCACGATGACGGCGTTGGACTATGCTGCTTCGGGTGCCGCACAACGGCGTTCCTGTCCACCTTTCAGCATATCGACAGGAGCACGTGGCTGGCGGGATCATGGTTACGAAGGGCTCTTTGCAGCAAGAGAAGCGTCGAGGAAAGTGTTCAGGCTAAATTGATGCGGAAATACACCGGCCAGAGTGAGTTTATCGATATTGTCCTCACATACGAGTCCAGTTCACTTCCTTTTCGAAGTTCACGAGAAAGGCTGATATCGTCATTACACGTCCACAGACTATTTATACATGAAATCGAGAAGCCCCCGCTCTCGCCAGACGCAACAAAACTCAAAACGCCATTGCCAATGCCGATGTATCGATGAGACGCACCAAATTAAACACCACCCAGAACGACTGATATGAAGACCCCGGTACCCACCCATAACCACGATCTCATCAGTCATTAATATGTAACCCAACAACGCCGAGCACAAAGAGAGGGAGGTAGCATCCAAGTCGCAATACAGAGCGTGAGCAACGCGACGACGCCTTACAAGCAAGAAAGGAGTAAACGCTACAAGCTAAAAAGCTCAAACTCGCGTCTGCTCAACAAGACGGAGAAAAGAGGAAAGCACTAAGCGATAGGCCATCGAGTACGCAATCCTTGTGTCCATTGCCCGTAGAGGATGTCGGCCAATATCCCCTGCTGCTCCATGCCAGGCTCGACATAACCGGGCAGTTTCTTCTCGTCAAAGTAACCATGGCCATCAGCACTAGAGCCCTTCTCGCCGACCACAAAAGCACTCTGGCGGCGTTTGTGAGACTTGAGGTGAGGGTTGTTCTTGGCCATTACAAGCTTTGGTCCCTTCAGCGGAGAGCCCGAGTTGGCGATGGGTGTGCCATTCCGTGTCGGTGTCGATATCGGAGTGTGGTCATACTCTTCTGAAGACTTGCTGACGGTCGACGTAGCTGCACTCGTAGTGCTCGAACGAACACGTGTTGTGCCGGTACCATGCACAGTTGTACCACCCAAGCTAGTGTCGCTGGTCTTGGTGTTGTGCTTCAATGGTGATTGTACAGGCGAGACTTCTATGCCAAGAGCGTACGCGAGCTTTGTGTCGTTTTTGAGACGGTCCACCATAGCCTTCAATAGCATAAATTCGCCATGTGGGTCGATCTCGTCAAGATGCTGCCAGGCCTGCGCAACTCGTCCGATAGCATCCCGTTGATGAGGCGATGCTGTGTCAGCATGTGCCTCCTGGAATACGGAGTCCAAGACCTTGCTGTATGCTCGGCGACCGTATAATGCGTCTTTCGTGATAGGCATCTGACCATCGGGAGCAGGTGGCTCGTTCTCGTTGTTCATGTCCAGTGGGTGGTTAGACGTGGGAGGTGACGGGCGGAAGGTGCGCGCTTCGGGGTTCGGTTGGAAGGACTGATTGTTCTGAGCAGGCGGGTTGCTAGGGGGGTTTGAGCGAAGTGCCGCACGACGTTCGCCCGAGGAGACGCGCTTGAAGTGTCGTACGGTGGAAGGCGAGTTTCCAAATGTTAGATCGACACCCAACGGCGACTTGTTGAGATTGCTGACGCGACGAGCGGTGGGTGTATCGCCCGAAGGAACGCGGAAAGCCGTGGCTTGAGAAGTTCTCCGAGAAGATGGACGTCGTCGCGCTGGGAGTGGTGAATCGGTTATGTCACCCAGGGGCGCTGCGTTGAGGTCCATCCGTTGCATCATGGATTCGACTTCTTCGTTGCCTGAGGAGGGTATACGGGCCAGTTTGCGACGCTGTTTCAACGTCTGGCGTGCTTGAACGGTCCCTCGCTTGACGGTATCAAAGTCCCAATCGTCTTCCTCGGCTCTGGGGGATAGATCAACCCTGATAGACCTGTTAGCATGCTGTATAGGAAGGTTCGGCAAACTACTGACATGGTCTCTTCATAGTACTTGGGGTGCGAGGCCGCTTGTTGTTCCCTTTGGGCGTCGTACATCTGCTTGCGCTCGACGAGCTCGCGCAATGCCTCGACCTTGCCCGCGCGTTGGACGAACCGGTGTTTGAGGAGTTCCTTCGCAGTTGCACGTCGATCCGGATCCTTGATGAGACATTGGGCGATGAAGTCTTTGAAATCTTTGCTCCATTCGTCGCCCTCCAGCCTCGGTGCTGGGTTCTTCGGAATCGTAAAGAGCACCTTCATGGGATGCGATCCAGCGTGCGGCGGTGCGCCCTCTGCCAACTCCATAGCGGTGATTCCGAGGGACCAGATGTCGGCTCTGAAATCATAGCCAGCCTCCTGGATGACCTCGGGCGCCATCCAGAAGGGTGTACCGACAAACGTCATGCGTTGCGATTTGATATTCGTGAGTTGTGCGGCGACACCGAAGTCGGCGAGTTTGACCTTGCCTTGGTCGGTGAGGAGTACGTTGGCGGCCTTGATGTCGCGATGGATCTTGCCGGTCGAGTGTAGGTAGTCTAGCCCGAGCAGGAGCTCTCGGCATGTGATGGCGATGTGTGCTTCGCTGAAAGTACCTGGTGCCAACTATGACGGTTAGTCTAGCCATCTAATATCGGTTGGGTGGCTGCGTACCAAGTCGGCGGCCGAGCCTCCCCCCAGATATTCCATGACTATCCATAGCTTGACGCCCTTGACGAAGCTGGTCTTGTATTCGGTGATGTATGGGCTGTGGCAGGTGCTCAGTAGCGAGATCTCGGCTTGGATGTCGGCGAGCTCTTCGCTGCTGTCTTCGAGGTCGATGTGCTTGATGGCGACTGTCTCGCCCGTTGTGCGGTCAATGGCTTTGAACACCTTTCCGAAGCTGCCGCCTGCAATGGTCAGTAATGAAGAATTAACTAGGCTATGTCAAAACGTACTGCCCAGCTCCTCCATGACTTGATAGTTTTCGGCCATGGCGGGCGATTACCACGTCGCTAGGCGGATCGCAATGGCTGAGAAATATGGGGTGTGGTCGGGGGTCGGGCCAAGATAGATGCAGTGGTGTTTCGGCGGAAGACTGTTGGGATAGGAATAAGACTCGTCTGTGGTACTGGGCTGCTCAATTGCGCCGCCGTTGTGGTGTATATCCAGAGTACCGCGCAGGGTCCAGCCCTATCATCGCCGAGGCAACCAGCCTGATCGTCAAACAAACGCACATCCCCGCCGCCACTTTTTGGCGGAGATTGGCATGACGTCGGTAGGTATCAGTGCTGTGGAAAAACAACACAGGTCGGGCATATCCAGGACAGCGCACCAGACGTCGCAGCCGTGTTGCGGAGCCTTTAGCATCCAAGACCAGTTTGTCGACGCCATATCCAGAGCAGCCCATTCCTCTCCTCACCAATGTTGCCCTGCATGAATTCCCCACTGCGGCTGTCATGCAGCAGCGGCTACCAAAACCGTCAGCCATCTTGCCAATAGACGTGTGTGGTGGTGCATCGCCTGCGCCTCATCCCGCCGAGGTTTACTTTTCCGGTTGCTGAGGGAAACGTGGGCTAACCACATGGTGCTGCGAGGCACTCCAGGCATGTCAAACCTACCATCCCACTCACCGCCAGCTAGGCTGGATTGCGAACAGTCCTCGTAGCCTGAAACAGGCCGCCTGTACAGCGCACTCCTGGCTGTTGCTGCAAATTAGGACAGAGGGCGACGATGGGCCTCCATGGTTGTCTGACCGCCAGGACATCGTGCACCATGTCATCCGTTGCGGTTCTCCTCAGCAACCGCAAAATTAGAGTCTAGTCCAAGATGACCACCTAACGTCGTTGACCGGACATTCGAGGTGCTATCCAGCTAGCTCAAACGTGACGGCTACATGGGTCGTGTTCTGAGGTGTCAAATTACGTGGCCCGACCCCTCATCTCCGCAACATGGCAGTGTCGTCTCGAGAATGTGGGACCGAGCATGTGTTCGACAACAGACTGCGCGTGTGGTGACCTGTACGTCTGAGTATGGCATGGAGCAATGAGCGGGCGGCTGTAGATACAAGACAGAGCAGCGTCGCCCTCAACAGGCGGACATTGGTTCACCGTCTCCACACAGGGCCTCCGTCACGAGACTAGCCGCGCAAGCAGTCCCTTGGACATGCAGCCAGGAGATGGGTTCCTGGATTGGGTTGTTGATGGCCTGAGCACGGCGCGCGTGAGCGACGGCTGCACAAAGACTGCGGCTTCGGCTGTAGGAATCTCTAGATACTCGTTGCCGCTCTGAACTCCGTGGCATGCGCTCTTCAATGTCTTTGGTATGAGTTCTTGCGCCGCTGGCTCAACGCTCTTCAAGTCTTGGTTCTCGTGGTTTAGAGGGTCTCTCCTCCTCCGATTGGTCGGCCTCCCTACAGCGCTTCTAGCCCTTTATCTCGAAGTCCACGGCAGCTCCCCAGCCGCCGCCTCGCTTATTCTTCACCGACTCGCTCGCCGCGCTCGTCTCTCAACCATTCTCTGTACTCTCAAGGAGGGACACTACGTCAGCAATACCATCTTCTTCGTCGGAGGAGCAGACTCGATGGACAGAGCACAGACACCCACAACCCTGCACGACAAAGGGGCCGACTCGTCATCCCAGTCGTCAATAATATCCTCCAACGCCCCCGACTCCAACGCTTCTTCCCAGTCCTCACCACCCAAGACAATGCCGTCGCATTCTCGGTCCAAGACGGTCGACGTCGTCGGGCAAGGCAAACGCCTGTCCCTGCAGTTCCCCATCCAGCCAAGTACGGGCATCAGTTCACCAACCTCCTCGACACGGTCGCGCCCGCAATCATGGATGAACGGGGCAACGTCTGTTCATTCGCCCGAACCCGAGGATTCCGCCTCCGAGACGAATATTCTGGCGGTTCTGGCTGCTCAAGAGCGCTATGTGCTCGAACTCAAGGAGGAGCTCACCAAAGCGGAGGCTGACCTGAACACGCTCAAGACGCACTGGACCCAGCACGAAGCGAACAAGCGTCGCAATGAGGTGCGCAAGGTTGCCGCGCTGCAGCCTTTGAATACGTCGCTCGCCAATGCTCCACCGGGCCAATACGAAGACGATGGTTCGAATTCGTGGATGCAGAAAGAGATGGAGCGCAGGAAGAACCTGCTCAGCAGCACCAAAACTTCCCAACGGAAAGTCTTCAGCGGCTCGCGACATCTACGAACGCTATCCCTACTCTCTCCCGACCGCCTCCAGTCGCCATCCTTCCCCCAGCCACTCGAGCTACACGATGACCCCGCTTCCAACTCCCGACCGCAGCTCCCTGCACGGGCTTCTACTTCGTCAGATATCACACGACAGATCGTCAATGCCGGTGAGCACGACCGGTATGACATGGGCGGTATGCCGACCATACAACGTGAGCAGCTCATTCGGGCTGGCACTCAGATGGCGCAGGATTTCAAGAAAGGGCTATTCACATTCATGGAGGATATCCGACAAGCCACGGTGGGCGATGAAGCCGTCAACACGGCGGACGGCAATACTGGAATACCAGGTGTCAAGAACCCCTCTAAATCTGGCCGCAAACCGTCCGAGGGTCGCCCCGCCCTTAGTCGGTCCGCCAGCTCGAAGAAGACCACACAGCAACTAGGCTCCACTGGCGACGACTTCTGGAAGGAGATGGGCTTGGGTGAGCCCAAGACCACTGCAGCCACCAAGAAGACGCACGCACTCAAGAACACAACCCCGCAAAAGCAGATCCGCAAAGTTGCATCCGAAGAAGACTGGGATAACTGGGACACCCCCAACGAGTCACTTCTGGTCGACTTAGGAGACTCCAAGGACAGCTCAGATGAATCGGATGCGCAGACCTCGCCGGTATCCGGCCCAGGCAGCTCTCGAACTAGCACCAGCACCAGATACCACTCGAAGCGTCATGACTCCAAGGCATCGTCGCTCACCTCCATCAACCAAGAAGACCTCACACCACGAGACTCAAAGCGCAGCTCTATCCCGTGGCCTGATATGACCAAGGTGTCACCCAGCAACTTGAAGCGTACCGCATCACATCTAATGAAAGAGTGGGAGAAGCAACTCACCCCGCCCCCGGAATCGAGGAGTGAAGATTACTCGCATGGCGATTTTATGAACTGAACGTTTGAAACGGTAGTTGCATTTAGCGATTTAGCATTATGACGCGACGCCATTAACAGCAATGTCTAATTCAGTGTTGGAGAACTTCTTGAAGAGGTGGTTTGCTGTGTGGAAAAGTTCAAGGTATAGCATGGCGTTGGCGTAATTGTACATATTGGAACCTAGCTTCGGGTAGACATGTACCGTCGTAGAAGCATAATGAGAATCCGAACACTTCAAAACGATGCGACCCAAACGCTTGCTTGCAACATGCGTGACGCTGCAGAGGCGGTGCCAAGACCCACCTGCCCGGCATTTCCCGTCCTCCGCTCTGAACTCCGCAAAAGTTCCCGGCGGCGGCGCATCGCATCGCCTTTGCAACAGTATCACTTGTCCCCTACGTTTGCTTCGCGCCGCAGTCGTAATCAGCTTCCAGAAGATGGCTTTTCCAGGAGGCGTGGGCTCCATGCCAGCCGCGATGAATCCCAATGCAGGCATGTCCGAACAGGAGCAGCAAATGGTGAAGGCAGTATGTGCGACCCCGTCTCCTCTATACAGTTGCGGTGGAACAGGATAGCATGTCGTGAAGGTGTAGCTGGCTATACAAGGCTGTCAGATTATATGGTCAAGGAATCATGGCTAACGTTCAAGTAGATGCAAATGGGTATGGAGTCTTGCATCGGCAAGACAGTAATGGCAGGCGTGATGGGTGGCGGCCTGGGTGCTATGTTTGGACTCTTCATGGCTTCCGTATGTGGACAAACAACTCGACATTTCGAAAGAAGGAGAAGGCACGACTGACATGCACAGATGCGATACGACACCCCGATGTCACAGCCCCTCCCCGTCAACACGCCGGCTACAAAACCTACAACCGCAGCCACAGGCGCAACGGCAACGGCAGGCGTCAAGCCTTCGACGATAGCTACCGGCAGCGTTAACTCCGCATCTGCAGCCACTCTCACCTCAGCACCCTCGGCCTCTGCGACTGCTACCCTTCCAAACCCTACCGCTACCGGTACCGTACCTCTTACAGACCTTCCCCTACGGCAACAATTACGGGCCGGCCTGCGCGATATGTACCGATCCTCGATCTCTAGCGGACGCAACTTCGCCAAAGTTGGTGCTATTTTCTCAGGCACCGAGTGCGCAATCGAGGGCCTCCGAGCCAAGAACGATCTGTACAATGGAGTGGCTGGAGGCTGCTTGACTGGTGGTATATTGGCAAGAAACGCTGGGCCGCAAGCTGTGGCCGTAGGATGCGCAGGCTTCGCAGTTTTCAGTGCGGCCATTGATGCGTATATGCGTATGCCAGAGGACGAGAGAAGCAAACCTATCGCGTAGTGTCTGTAAGGCGACTATCACGATCATGAGTCGAACCTGGGATGGAATTCATGTCATTGATGTATGTGTACGATATACCACAAGCGACGTTGGGGTGGACTCGCGACTTAGCATTGGGCGGCGTTTGGAGGATTCATTCTATCAAGATTCCCGATTTCAAAAACGAGACCGAAAACAATATCGAGAGTTATAGAATATAATCTTAGCCATCTCTCAGTATTACAAAAAAAGACTTAACTTGATGTATGTCGAACTCGCGTCGACTCATTTACCTCCAGCACGAGGCTCCCATTACTGCCACCAGTGCGATCCGGCCAATCAAAATTCGTCAGGGTCTCACACCAAAAAAGTCGGGCCCCACCGCCACCATCGCGAAATCTTCTACCACACCAGCGGCACGCCCTAGTCATATTGACGGTCCAACCCTCGTAAACTTCCGAACTTAACATCAGAGTCTCAACTTTCCACGTACAACAAACCGAAATCTCCTGTTAACCGGACTGCGACTGCTGCCGGTCTATCGCGCAATGGCAACACCCACTGCGACCCAGCAAAAGCCCATTCACTCGCTTATTTTGGATACGGGTCCATTGATCAAGAACACAGTCTCGATCTCTACCATCATCAACGCCGCGGAAGAACTATGGACTACACCTGCTATTCTCTCCGAAATCCGCGATGAAGCCACACGGTCACGTGTACAGACAACATTGATTCCATTTCTGAAGATAAGGAATCCTCAGCCGGCAAGCTACGATGCAGTCATTGCGTTCAGTAAGAAGACAGGTGATCATGCGGTACTCAGTAGGCAAGATTTGGGTATCCTAGCCCTGGCCTACGAAGTGCACTGTGAGAGGAACGGTGGCGACTGGGGCCTGAGAGAAATACCAAAGGGCGAAATAAAGAGGAGACCTGGAGAGATTGAGCAGTCGAACGAGGAGAAACCGCAGAGTGGGGGCCTCTCCGCATCAGCAAAGAAGCGCAAGAACAGGCGGAAGGCAGCCAACAAGACTACCGAAGATAACGCTGAAGATACGACGGAAGGCGTACAGATCGATTCCGGATCCGTCGAACCAGAGGATATTGATGAAGGCTGGGAGCAGCCTACAGGAAAGCGGGCGGCGAAGGCCAGAGCGCCCAAATCTACCAAGTTCAACTTCAAGCCCGCAGCGGAATCAGACAGCAGCCTGGAACAGGCCAACGAATTAGAGGAGCAGACCGCCAAAGCCGAGGTAGATGAAGAAGAAGGTGGAATAGCCGTCACTCAGGAGCAAGTCGAGGAGCAAATACATGAGCAGGTTGTTGCACAGGTTCAGGATCAGGTTCACGAGCAGGTGCAAGACCAGATTCACGAGCAACTTGAGAAACAGGGCAGAGGAGAGCTCGAGTCTCAAGCTGTAGAGCAGGCGGAGGAAAAGATCGAAGAGCAGGTCACAGAGCAAGTTCAAGAACAGCTTCAAGAACAGGCTGGTGAGGAGGGCCCAATAGACCAATCGGCGGCGGTTGAGGTGCCCACCACCAACATCCACATCGAGCAGAAGGCAGAGCTCTCACTCGCGCCTGAGACCTCCAGCCAGCGAGATCTACCAACCCAGCAAGTCAGCCCTGACGAATCAAAACTGGAGCAGGAACTGGAGGACCTTTCGGTATCCCATCACGCCACTCAACAACCTACGCCCCCCACGACTGACGATTCAGCTGCGGAGTCTGACTCTGATGGCGACTGGATTACCCCACAGAACCTTACAGAGCACCAAGCCAAGGATGGAGCCATCCAACCGCAAATTCACACCACAGCCAATCGCCAGCTGGACGTAGCAACCATGACGATAGATTTTGCGATGCAAAACGTGTTGCTCCAGATGAATCTTCAGCTTCTCTCCACAAACATGCAACGTATCAAGAACGTCAACACCAAGGTTCTCCGTTGCCACGCATGTTTCAACATCGTCAAGCAAATGGACAAGCAATTCTGCCCCCGTTGTGGTCAAGCAACTCTACAAAGGGTTTCCTGCTCTACAAACGCCGCTGGAGAGTTCAAGATCCACTTAGCCAAGAACTACCAGTACAACAAGCGTGGCGATAAATACAGCATCCCCAAGCCCATCGCCGGCACTGCAAACACAAAGTGGAGTCATGGTCAGGGAGGAGGCAAAGGCGGCTGGGGTCGAGATCTCATCCTTGCTGAAGACCAGAAGGAATACACGAGGCGTGCTGAAGAAGACAAGAGGACCAGGACGAGGGACCTCATGGATGACAACTACCTGCCGGGCATTCTGACAGGCGATCGGGGCAGAGCCGGTGGCAGAGTCAAGGTAGGCGCAGGCAAGAACGTCAATGCGAAGAAGAGGACGTAGGATGCTGTTGTGGCTGCCACTGAGCCAAAGCAGTTGGGGCCATGCAGACTTTTGGTCAGGTGGACTCGGATGATATGATGTGGTGGTGAAAGCCATCGGGTCACCCGGCTTACTGGGTTTTGGGCGTAAAGGTTCATGGCGAATGGTGTTGAGCCATGCTTGGTTGATCATCGGAAGATATGTCTCAGATAGACGCATGATATCCTAAAAGTTCCTATTTGTCCTCTCCAAATATTTGAGCAGATGGTCCCTTGTTGCCTCGCTCCGCCTGTCCCACTCGATTGCAAACAATCCAATGTCTGACGACCGTACGGTAACATGATCCTCCAATCCTTCCAATATTCCTCCATGCACCACACGTTTGTATTTCGAATGCGCGTGATGAGTTTTGCACTGCACACCGCTTGTGTATCACCGTACTGTGATTATGTGCCATATCTGCATTGTCCAGTGAACCCACTTCCCAAAACGCCACTGCGCCTGTGACTGGGTGGTATAGTAGACGCGGAAATCCGGTTGTGGCTCGGCACGCTCGGTTATCTTATTGAACGAGTGGCCTCTATGTAAGGGTCAACGATCTGCATCCAAACGAGCTGTATGCCGACAACACTGCAAGATACTCGGCACACGTTGCTACATTGATGCGGACGCAGTAGTGCGTGTGCAGGTTCTTGAATCGGCAGTATGGCTTGGCTTATCTCTTATTCCGGGCTGCGAGTTGCAGGGTAGTCTTTAGATCCTATGTAATATACCTGTACTCCTCATTCAGCCCCTGCGCTGCGGACGTGAAGCCATGGGTCCGTGTCTTGGAAGGCCTCAAGATATGACTCAGCAGGGACTCACTGGGGCGACGCCACCACAGTCTGACAGGATATGGTGCATACAGCGTTACTATACGGTGCCATCATTAGTATCCTAAGAGCTGCCTGAGAGTGGCTCAGTCACAGCAAAGTGGCGTAATACCCATCAGCTCGTGATGTAATCGAAAAGCCAATGCGCAATGGTTTTGAGCGAAAGGACTGGCAGTCAGCAAGTGTATTTCAGTGGTGGCTGAGATGTAATTCCACGCTCAACCTCGAGCTGGTGACCCTGTACGGGTTCAGACGATCGGTGGCCATCTCATCTGCACCAGTGGTATATCGTGATTCGGAGCTGGACGCTCTCGTGTCTCACAACTGCGGAAACGTGGCGTACAGTGACAGCCGAGTCCGTGTAACAACGCATTACCCTTACATAGCTCCTTACATAGCACACATGTGGACTGTGCCCAAACGCCTCGCTTACGTCAATTCAGTCCAGCTTGAGATGTTGCGATTGGTT